CTCCATGTTATGTTTCACAGATTCATCGTTGTTCTTTATTGTTGCGTAGTATTCCATTGTGTGAATATACCATAATTTGTTTATCCATTCATCTATATTGATGGGCACCTAGGTTATTTCCATTTTTTTGCTATCTTGAACAGTGCTACAATGAGGATTCGTGTGCATATATCTATTCGTGTGACGGCTCTTATATGTCTAAGATATATTCTAAGGAGCGAGATTGCTGGATCTTATGGTACTTCTATTTCTAGCTCTTTAAGGAAGTGCCAAATCGATTTCCAAAGTGGTTGTACTATTTTACATTCCCACCAACAGTGTATAAATGTTCCAGTCTCTCCACAACCTCTCCAACATTTATTATCTTGTGTTTTTTGCATTAATGCTAACCTTGTTGGGGTGAGATGGTATCTCATTGTAGCTAATGATCGTGAACATTTCTTCATGTGTTTGTTAGCTGCCTGAATGTCTTCTTTGGCAAAGTGTCTGTTCATATCCTTTGCCCATTTTTTAATTGGGTTATTTGTCTTTTTGTTGTTGAGGTTTTGCAGTATGTTGTAGATTTTAGAGATTAGATGCTGATCGGATTTGTCGTAGCCAAAAATTTTGTCAGTCTGTAGGTTGTCTTTTTATTCTTTTGGTGTTGTCTTTTTATTCTTTTGGTGAAGTATTTTGATGAGCATAAGTGTTTGATTTTTAGGAGCTCCCAGTTATCTAGTCTGTCTTCTGGTGTTCGTGCATTGTTATTTATGGTTCGTATTTTGTTTATGTCATGTATTAGGGCTCCTAGCGTTGTCCGTATTTTTTCTTCCATGATCTTTATCGTTTTCAGTTTTATATTTAAGTCTTTGATCCATTTTGAATTAGTTTTTCTTCATGGTGTGAGGTATGGGTCTTGTTTCAGTTTTTGCAGATGGATATCCAGTTATGCCAGCACCATTTGTTAAAGAGACTGTCTTTTCTCCAATTAACAGATTTAAGGCCTTTGTCAAATATCAGCTGCTCATAGGCGGATGAATTTATGTCTGGATTCTCAATTCTGTTCCATTGGTCTATGTATCTGTTGTTGTATCAGTACCAGGCTGTTTTGACTACCATGGTGGTATAATAGGTTATAAAATCAGGTAGTGTGAGGCCTCCTACTTTGTTCTTCTTGAGTAATGCTTTACTTATCCGGGGCCTATTCCCTTTCTAAATGAAGTTGGTAATTTGTTTCTCTATCTCATTAAAAAATGCCATTGGAATTTGGATTGGGATTGCGTTGTATCTGTAGATCGCTTTGGGTAGAATTGACATTTTCATAGTGTTGAGTCTTCCTATCCATGAGCAAGGTATGTTTTTCCACTTATGCAGGTCTCAGACTATAAATCTCTTGAAGACAGAAAATGCCATGTGCTTATTACGCTGTGTCCTGGTGCTAAGCAGAATGTTGGCTAACCTGAGTCCCTCAACAAGTGCTTTATCAGTTGGCCAAGAAATGGTAGAAGGGGAGAAGGGGAAACACTCCTGTAGCTCTGTGGGCAAGAGAACCAAATTGCACTGATTGTTAAAATGAAACCCATGCAAATAAGGGCATCATGACGATGGTTACCTGACTCCTCATTGTTCCTCCAGGAACTGAGAAACCAGCCCTCAAGGAAGCAGACTGAAGATGGCAAGACCCTGTGTCACTAACATTCCAGGTTGGAGCTTCAGATCCCTCTGTACTACAAGCCCTTCCATCACTAACCAGAGGCTGCCGAGTCGATTCTGACTCATGGCGACCCCGTGTGTGTCAGAGTAGAACTGTACTCCATAGGGTTTTCAGTGGTTGATTTTTCAGAAGCAGATTGCCAGGCCTTTTTTCTGAGGTGCCTCTGTGTGAACTTGCACCTTCAGCATTTCAATTAGCAGCCCAGTGCATCAACCGTTTGCACCACCCAGGGACCACCATGGCCGGTTTAGCCTCCCTCTCTGATGTCCCTCTCCCAGGGGTTAAGCACCATCAGGATCCAGGGCAATGTAGTGAGGGCTTCACAAAGGGAAGTCTATTCAGCTGAAAGGACTGACATTTATTCTGTGATTACATTCTTTCTACGTAGTAAAATGCCATTTCTTTTAAAATGTCTTTTTCTCATTATAATAGTAGATGGGAGCTAAATTTCTTTTTAATGTTCTTATTTGCAAAATAAAAAGTAGGCAGCCCAATGTCAGCCCACCAACTTTTGGTCTATGAAATCCCAAAGTGTGGAAACCACTGGTCAAACCTACCTTCCAACTCCTAATTCGGGTTATTAACATGCAGCCTTGGGGCTGGCCACCCCTGCCGGGCTCTGCCATCTGCCCCACTTGGCCCTACTCTGCTCTGCTGTCACCGCTGCCCAGATTCCTTCATTCAAAAACACAAACAAATGACTATTGCCCTGGGATACTCTTTAACCCTTGAACTGAAACTATCCCCTGGAGTCATCTTTAACCCTTTCATGACCAAATTAAAATTTAAAAAAAATTTTTTTGTTGCTGTAATGTTGTTCCATTAATGGAATGCATGCAGAATCATTGAGTGTGTCCCTCTGGACTCTGGGGGTAGGACTGGTGGGATGTGTATGTCCCATTGGACTCTGGGACACATATGTCCTTGTGGACTCTGTGGTAGGTTGGTGGGACACATAGGTCTCTACAATATGCACCACCTCATAGAATACCCTGTAAAAAGAGTAATTTGCAGCACACACCCATTTCTTCCATTTCTAACAGTCGTACAGGTCCCCGCCTGCCAGCAGCACATACTGAAAGTGGGAAAGAAATTTCTCAATAAACTTGAGAGGTGGAGATGTAGGTGGACTTACATATCCTGCTGGTCATGGTAAATTAAAAAACAGTTTAGCTCAAAAAGTAAAGAATGTCACCCTTAAGTATTGTGCTCTTTAAAAAAATGATCTATATGAGACCAAAGGGACAACCATAATTCTAAAACGTAAAGGAGAAGTTTAGGGTGCAGTGAGTTTAGATTAGTGGAGGTGAAACAACTACAGCAGAAATAATGGAATTGACACAATGTGAAGGGTGTAACCAATGTCACTGAACAGTGTGTAGAAATTGTTAAATGAGAGCATGTTTTGATGTGTATATTTTCACCGAAAATAAATTAAAAAACAAAAAAAGCAAACAAGCACGTAACGAGCCCCCACTATGGGCCAGCCTGTTCTAGGCACTGTGGATATAGCAGTTAAGAAAGGGACCTCCCAATTCTCCCAAACTGTCATTTCTCCTCAGACTTCACTTATTTGTGTACTCAGCTTGCCCCCTGCCTCCAACAGTCTCCAAATTTTGAATACAAACTTCCAATATATGTGTTTTTATAAGTTGTATACATACACAGCATCCCTGAGTGGAGCAAATGGTTAAGTGCTCAGCTATTAACTGGAAGGTTGGCAGTTCGAATTCTAACCAGAGGCACCTCAGAAGAAAGGCCTGGCAATCTACTTCCAGAAGATCACAGCCTTGAAAACCCTATGGAGCACAGTTCTACTTGGACACACATGGAGTCACCATGAGTCAGAGCTGACTTGACAGCAACTAGTTTGGTTTTGGTTGTTGTTTTATATACATATACATGTTATGTAAGTGATGAAACACTCCAACAGAAATTTCAAAGGAAAGAAGGAAAAAATGAAAATAGGCTGTAATATTTTTCCTCTGCCTCCGTTGTGGTCCTCACTCTGGCAGTCTCCCTTCTGCCCTCGCTCCCCTCCAGCTGCCCTCCCTGAGGTCACCGAGTAATTGAATCCAGTGGACACTCTTTTTTTGGTCCCAGTCAATTGCAGAGCTGGCAGCTCGGTCTTCCTTGGTGGCTCCTCTTTGTCCCTTATTTGATGGGGTTCCCTCTCCCCGTTTTATCTTCTCAGTCTGTATATCCAGGGTAATCTTATGCAAACTTGGGGTTTTAATTAACCTATTTCTGGATCATTGGGAAAGAATCTGATCTTGCTTCTTCTTGGACTCTTCCTGTCTATGCCAATCAGATAATGGCACTCTCTGCCTTCCCGTCACATTCAGAATAAAATTCCAACTCCTTCCTGTGGCTAACAAAGTATCTGGCCCAGACCTCCTTTCTCTCTCCTTTTCTTTCTGTTCCAGCTCCGCTTGCCTCTGGCTAGTCCTCCAGGCATTTGCACTTGCTGTTTCACTATTCCACTAAAGACGCCTGTGTGTCCAGATCCTTCTGTGGCCAGCTCCCACCCTTCATTCAGGAAGGCCTTCCTCGATGTCCCTCTAAATATAGCAGTTCCCCATCTCTCACCCTTGCCACCACTACTTTATTTTTCTTTACCACACCTCTCACTCCATGTTATGGATTGAATTGTGTCCCCCTAAAAATATGTGTTGGAATCCTAACCGCTATACCTATGGATGTAATGTAACATAATGTAATCATCTTCCATAAAGCAATCTAATATTATGTTAATGAGGCCATATCAGTGTTGGGGGGTTCTAAACCTAATCACCTCTGAGTTATAAAAAGAGCAGATTAGACACAGAGACAAACACATAGTGGGGAAGACAGATTCCATGTTAGAATCATCAAGAACCAAGGAATGCCCGGGGCTACTGACAAAGAATCGACGTGTGAGACCCTGATTTGAACTTTTAGCCTCCAGAACTGTGAGAAAAGAAATTTCTGTTCTTTAAAACCATCCACGTGTGGTATTTGTGTTATAGCGGCACTAGATAGCTAAGACACACCACAATGTGGTTTTCTTCAGTGCTGTATCCCTGGTGCCTGGAACAGTGCATGGCACATAGTGGGTGCTCAACAAATGTGTTGTTTCCCCCACATCTACATCCTTGCTCTTCTGAGCTCCAGAGCCCTGTGGCTAACTTGCTTCTAGACATCTTTGCGTGTCCCATGAACACCTCCAAAAATGTTGGTATATTCTCCCAAAACCTGCCACCCAGCTCCCCAAACCATTCACCATTGGCCCACAGAAGAAACCTGGCTGGCATGCTAGGCTCCTCACCTCTGATGGCCAAGTGGTCACCAGATCCCACTGAGTCTCTCTCTTCATTCTCTACCCTGCCCATGCTGTCTTTGCTTGGGTCCTCATTATTTCTTGCCAGCTGGTTTCCCTGCCCAAGACCCATCCCCTTCACATTACTACCATAGCACTTTCTGAAACTCAGTGATCATGTAACTCCAGGATTATCTTGAGGATCAAATTCAGACTCCTTAGGTTGGCACAAGGACTTACAGGATCTAGTACACCCCCTCCTCCAACCTTTCTGGCTTTACTTTGAGACCAGACTAGTTGGAGTTCCCCTAAACACCTCCACGTCTCTCTCTGCTGTTCCCTCCTGAAACCTGAAATGTCCATTCTTCACCTTCCTACTGTGTCTTCTCCAACTGGAGAAATCCAATTATTCTTTCTTAATTCCATACCTCTCTTCTGTGCTCCCGTAGCACCAGGCCCATACATCTCACCTCTCATTGTATTTACTAACCCATGTGTATGCACATATCTATAGATATGTCTATATGTAATCATCTGTATCTGTATTAAGCTGAACATGAGTTCATACTGATGTCTTCAACTCTAATTCATTACCACATGTATTATTCTAGACTTCTCCCTTTGGTTATCTGTAATCTCCCACTCCAACAGTGAGATACCTGACTCTCACCATCTGCCATCCATTTACTTAATTGTTCAATCCCAGCAGACACATACAGTGGTCTCTCAGTGTATTTTACTTGTGGGCTTATTGGTCCTCAAGATCGATACTCATTCCTAAGCACTATTAATAGCTAAGAGTGCTTAATACACACACATGAATCAAATCGACTACATCTGTGGAAAGAGTTGATGGAAAAGCTCAATATCATTGGTCAGAACAAGGCCAGGGGCTGACTGAGAAATGGGCCATCAATTGCTCATATGCAAGTTCATGTTGAAACTGAAGAAAATTAGAACAAGTCCACGAGAGGCAAAGTACGATCTTGAGTATATCCCACCTGAATTTAGAGACCATCTCAAGAATAGATTTGACCGAAGACCAGATGAGCTGTGGAATGACATCAGGGACATCATACATGAAAAAAGCAAGAGGTCATTAAAAAGACAAGATAGAAAGAAAAGACCAAAATGGATGTCAGATTCCAAAGGGCGGCTCAAGAAGACAAAGGTTATAATGACATGTGCAAAGATCTGGAGTTAGAAAACCAAAAGGGAAGAACACACTTGGCATTTCTCAAGCTGAAAGAATTGAAGAGCAAATTCAAGCCTCGAGTTGCAATATTGAAGGATTCTACCAGGAAAATATTAAATGACACAGGAAGCATCAAAAGAAGACCGAAGGAATACACAGAGTCACTGTACCAAAAAGAATTGGTTGACGTTCAACCATTTCAGGAGGTAGTATATGATCAGGAACCGATGGTACTGAAGGAAGAAGTCCAAGCTGCACTGAAGGCATTGGCGAGAAACAAGGCTCCAGGAATTTACAGAATACCGATTGAGATGTTTCAACGAACAGATGCAGCGCTGGAAGTGCTCGCTGGTTTATGCCAAGAAATTTGGGAGACAGCTACCTGGCCAACCACCTGGAAGAGATCCATATTTATGCCTATTCCCAAGAAAGGTGATTCCAACTGAATGCAGAAATTATCGAACAATTTCATTAATATCACATGCAAGTAAAATTTTGCTGAAGATCATTCAAAAGCAGCTGCAGTAGTACATTAACAGGGAACTGCCAGAAATTCAGGCCGGATTCAGAAGAGGAGGTGGAACAGGGATATCATTGCTGATGTCAGATGGAAGCAGAGAATACCAGAAAGATGTTTACCTGTGTTTTATTGACTATATGCAAAGGCATTCAACTGTGTGGACCATAACAAATTATGGAAAACATTAAGAAGAATGGGAATTCCAAAACACTTAATTGTGCTCATGAGGAACCTGTACATAGATCAAGAGGCAGTCATTCGAACAGAACAAGGGGATACTGCATGGTTTAAAGTAAAGAAAGATATGTGTCAGGGTTGTATCCTTTCACCATACTTATTCAACCTGTATGCTGAGCAAATAATCCGAGAAGCTGGACTATATGAAGAAGAATGGGGCATCAGGATTGGAGGAAGACTCATTAACAACCTGGAATTTGCAGATAACACAACCTTGTTTGCTGAAAGTGAAGAGGACTTGAAGCATTTACTGATGAAGATGAAAGACCACAGCCTTCAGTATGGATTACACCTCAACATAAAGAAAACAAAAATCCTCACAACCGGACCACTAAGCAGCATCGTGATAAATGGAGAAAAGATTGAAGTTGTCAAGGATTTCATTTTACTTGGATCCACAATCAACACACATGGACACAGCAGTCAAGAAATCAAAAGATGCATTGCATTGGGCAAATCTGCTGCAAAAGACCTCTTTAAAGTGTTGAAAAGCAAAGATGTCACCTTGAAGATTAAGGTGCATCAGACCTAAGCCATGGTGTTTTCAGTTGCCTCATATGCATGGGAAAGCTGGACAATGAATAAGAAAGACCAAAGAATTGACACCTTTGAATTGTGGTGTTGGAGAAAAATACTGAATATACCATGGACTGCCAAAAGAATGAACAAATCTGTCTTGGAAGAAATACAGCCAGAGTGCTCCTTGGAACCAAGGACGAGACTTCATCTCACATACTTTGGACATGTTATCAGGAGGGACCAGTCCCTGGAGAAGGAAATCATGCTTGGTAAAGTAGAGGGTTAGCAAAAAAGAGGAAGACCCTCAACGAGATGGATTGACACAGTGGCTGCAACAATGGACTCAAGCATAACAACGATTGTGAGGATGGCGCAGGACCGGGCAGTGTTTCATTTTGTTGTACGCAGGGTGGCTATGAGTTGGAACCAACTTGATGGCACCTAACAACAACAGGCTCTGATTGAAACACTACCACTACATAAACTCATTTAATTCTCACAACCATTATGAGATACTTATTAGTTCCATTGAACGTAAGAGGAAACTGAGGCACAGAACAGCCAAGTAACTTGCCCAAGTTGCACAATTAATAAGTGGCAGAACCAAGGTTTGAACTCAAGGAGCAGACCTCCAGTGTCATGGCTAAAGTCCATAGCCCCTCACTCCTCCACTCCATGACAGAGGAGCTGCAGTTAATGTTAGCTGAATGGTAATGACCCATCAGTCCCTTGACCTCCTACATTCCAATCTTATCACTCCTCAGCGTTGAGAGTTTTCATCTTTGGCTCCTCTGTGCCCCCTTCCACATTATCAAGCCCTGCTGCCAGTCAAGGATGGTTCAACCACAACTTTACACTACTGACTTTGTCTGGGCCCTCACTACTCTTGTGAGCTGTTCAGTTCACTGGCTGTTAAATCCATATTCCATCCACACAGAGCAGTTCCCAACTTCCACTGCTGGCCTTCCGGCCTCTGACCTCTGCTCCATGACTCCCGGGGAAGAACCTTCCCTATTGCCAGAGCTATTCAGCCGGCTGTCCGTGCACTTCCCTTTTCTACACCTCAGTGTTTCTCCATACTGTTATGCACACCCACCCTCTCGCATCTCTAAGGAAAGTCTGGAGCTCTGCTGTCGGGGTGTGGGGCACTCCCTCCTTCCTCCCTCATCTCACCTTCAAGACCCCTTAGTTTCACTGTGCACCTGAAGACACGCAGAGGCTTTTCTGGTCTCACACTGCAAAAATCTCAGCTTGGCTACCCCCTTCTCTCTCCTTTCATTCCTTCTTCCAACAAATACTGAGTGCCTCCTCCATGCCAGGCACTGACAACACCCCTGTTCAAGGAGCTGACATCCCTGTTCAGCCAAACTGCCTGAAGGAGAAGGGAAACGGCCCGCCTGCCTTCTATCTGCTCATAGGAAGGAAGCATGTCACGGCTAAAAGTGATCCAATGTGTTTTATTGAAGCAATTCCATTTTCTTCTATCAGTAGAATTTAGAACAAATGATCTCTGACTTAATCAGTGTCTCCATAGGGACCTGGTCTCCTACCTTCTAGACATCTTCTTGGTGGACATCTCACTTTCCCAGATGGGTTTTTCTGGAGAAGACTTTGATAAGAGGATGTTGAACAAACGACGGTGGCCCTGGAAGATCCTTGGGATTGGAGAAGATTTGGTTTCTTTGGCAGAAGTCGATTCCTTCCATCTCTTCACTATAATAACTATTTTTGTTATCAAAGTTGGTGCAGAAGCCACAAAATGACTACCCCAACCGGGTTGAGGAGCAGCCGTCCTTTGTAACTCAGGGTCGGTGACTAGTCAGTCTGGAGAGAGACAGCCTGACTTTGAGAACAGCACAGACGCCATTTGGACATTCCCAGCTGGGCCAGGAGGCCAGAGATGAGGCCTGCATTCCACACTGTATTTGCCCTTTTCTGGACAAATAGAAGTCAGAAAAGGAAAAGGGGGAAATTCCACAAAGACCCACATGACAGGCTTCTCTTCCCCTAGTTACTGTCCAAAAGTAGAAAGTGGAAGATCCGTTAGTTCATCCTTTTCTGGGTGTACCTCTGACACCTTATTCTTCTTGGCAAAAATCTGATTGATCTCTATAAATGTCTTGGCCTTGGTCTCGGGGACAATCAGGAAAGTGAAAATGGTGGTGAGAAGACATACTACGGCAAAAATGATGAAGCTGTAAGGCCCCAGGCCGACCTGTGGGGAGAGAGCAGGCAAGAACCATGTGGGAAGAGCCTTCCTGACCCTGCAGCTGCCAGCTCCTCGCCTGAGTGGGGAGCCCATATACTTTCTCAAATGGGTCTCACTGTACTGCTTGGGAGTCCTGGTGGTCAGATGGTTAACATGTTCATCTGCTAACCAAAAGGCTGGAGGTTCATAGGCACTTTGGAAGAAATCCCTGGTGATTTACTTCCGAAAAATCAGCTAATGAAAACCATATGGAGCAGAGTTGTACTATGACACTCATGGGGTCACCATAAGTTGGAGTCAATTCAATGGCAAATGGTACCGGAACTGCTTGAGGATTTGTGAATTTGGGGCCCCCAAATACCTGAATGAAGGGGAAGACCAAGCCCACGGTGAAGTTGGAGAGCCAGTGAACGCTGCCCCCCACCATGTAGGCGGCCGGCCGAGAGGACTGCAGGAACATCTCGGTGATGAGCAGTGCAGGAATGGGACCTTGGGGAAGAAAGAGAGAAGGTGTAGGATTATTGCAGGCGTAGCCATCCTACAGGTAGTCCTTGAGCCCCTACCCATGAAAGTCGCTCTTGCATTCTAGTCGAAAGCAGGGGCTCCTGGTCTGGTGAAGCAGTGTGAGGATGCAAATGACAAGAGTTTACAGACAACATTGTGATGTCCTTAGACCAAAACCAAAAACCAAATCTGTTGCTGTTCAGTCGATCCGACTCATAGTGACCCTACAGGACAGAGTAGAACTGCCCCATAGGGGTTTCCAAGGAGCAGCGGGTGGATTCGAACTGCCAACCTTTTGGTTAGTAGCCATAGTTCTTAACCACTATGCCCAAATGACCTCCTGTAGGCTCACCAGGCTATTCCCACAGGGGAGCATGCTTTGACCTCCCCAAGTTACTGTACAGTTTCATTCTGGTTATGCTCCAGCAACCCTAAGAAAAGCCTGGTGATCTACTTCTGAAAATCAGCTAATAAAAACCCTATGGATTACAATGGCCCGACCCGCACTGATCACGGGGATGGCACAGGACTGGGCAGCATTTCATTCCATTGTGCATGGCATCAGCATGAGTCTGGGGCCGACTAAACGGCAGCTAACAACAATGACCCTGTGAAACAGAAGGAGCAGAGAGGAGATTCCAAGTCTGCCTTCTGCACTCCCCGGAACCTCCTGAAGGAGCTCAAGGCAGAAGTTTCTAGGGCTGGTGGCACAGGAAGGAGGGAATGAAACCGTGAGGCCAGCTCCGGGGTACATACTGGGCCCGAGGGCGTGTCCTATGACATAGGAGATGATACAGACGATGCTGATGTAAGGCATCCAGGACACTGTCTCCTGCGGGAAGAAACAGAATTGAGTCACACATGGCAAAGCCAAGACAACCTGGGAGGGGGACGTCAAGAACCTTGGGCCCCAGTGGCCAAACTGGTATGATCCGAGGTAGGGGGGTCTTTCTGGCCAGCCAGAAAAGACAGGCCCCTAGCGCCATCTCAATGGACTGTTATCAGCTGAAAGCGGGCATGGGCTACTGGGCAGGGGGCACATGGTCAGACTGACCGTATTGGCTAAAACAAATCCATTTTGATCTTTTGTCCTCTTGATACTGGCACAGGGTGAGAGTGACAATGCTCTCCTTCCCAGGAATGTCTGCTACCTCCCACCAGACTCTGAGCCCCCAACACGGAGCCCTGCCTTTTCTCACCTGCAGCGCCAGGGCGGCGGTCAGCACACAGCAGGCCATGAAGCAGATAGAGAAGCCCAGGAGGAGCAGAAGTCTCCTGCCCAGCAGCTCCACCACAAACACCTGGAGGAGGGGAGGTGGTGAGGAGGGAGGTGCAGGGGCTAGCACCCTGGCCAGAGGGGGGCCGGCTGCCCTGGCGTCCAGCTGCACCCCTGCCTGGAGCAGCGGGTCCAAGTGCCTTCGAAGAGCCGCCTTCCCTGGGAACTTCCCCCACCCCTCACATCCTCTTCTGATGGGGCAGCTGTGTGGAGAGGCAGGTGGGCTGTGTTCCTGCCGCCTGTGTGTGCATGTGCACGGGCCTGGCTGCCCGTGTGTATGTGTGCGTGTGTGGCAATGTGTAATAATGTGTTGGTACGTGTACACAATGTGTGTGTGTGTGCATATATGTAATGCACATGTGCATGCACGTGCATGTGTGTGCATGCACACGTATGTGCACAAGAATGTGCCCTTAGATGACCAGCAGGAAAGCCTGGTGGTGTCACTGGGCCCAAGCTACCTAGACTTCAATGGCTTCACCCCTTAGGGCCTTCTAATTGTACACCCCGAATCAGGATTCCCGCCAACTGCTGGGGGCTGGATATCTGGATGAACTCCAGAGATTCTGTCCTCCACAGGTGGCCAAAGAGCTTCAGCCAGGTGCTGCCCAGGCATGGAAGCCATTCAGTGGAGGGCACTGCCAGGGCCACCATGCTGCCCTGTCTAGGGCCCCATTCATTCCTGTCACACTGTGGACCTGGCACAGGTTGTTTGCACCCTGGACAGCTTGGCAGCCCCAAATATAAGAAGTTGAGGCAGCATTTCACACGGTAGGGGGAGGGGGCGGGGGCGGGAGCGTCCATCTCTGGGGAGGCTGTAGGCTGCTCTTGCAGGAGATGGGCTGGGCCCTGAGGAGAGCTCAGAGGCTGCAGATGAGGGACTGAGGGGCACATCACCATCTCAGAGCCCAGACTCACTCCTCGGTGGGCAGCCCCCTCTCAGACACCCCTCAGTTGGTAGTGTCAGACAGGAGACAGCCTGGGACACTCACAGCACAGATGGTCATCACAACGTTGACGGCCCCCGTGCCTGCTGTCACATACTGGACCTCAGCCTCCTTCACGCCGGCGCTGACGTAGATCTGGTCTGCATAGTAGTAGATCTGGAATGAATTATGGCAGAGGTGTGAGGGGCCAGCCAGGGGAAGGGTCTGTGCCAAGGGGCCTGCTGCACCATGGGCCCTGTGAAGGAGTGCCTGTGTGCGCCTGGACTCCTGCCTTTGCCCAGGGTTTTGTGTCCCTGCCCCCCCAGAGCCCCCAGACCCCACCCGGCCTCCTGGGCCCTCTGTTCACTCCCGTACCGCGTTGACGCCTGACAGCTGCTGGCCAGCCATGAGGACAATGATGGTGATGACCTGCCACCGCAGGGACCGCATGCTGAACAGCTTCAGCACAGAGATGGTGCCCGCGGCCCGCTCCGTCTCGTCCTCCTGCCGGATCTCCTCTATCTCCTCCTCCACGTCGTTCCAGCCTCGCAGCCTCTTCAAAGCTAAGGGCAGTGGGCAGGGGGCATGTGAGGGCACCGAGCTGAGATGTCACAACCTCTCAGCCCCATTCTGCCTCTCACAGAACAGCATTACCATTCTTGGCAGCCTCTTCGTCCTTCTTCTGAACCAGCAGGTATCTGGGGCTCTCAGGGAAGAAAGGCAGGAGCACAAGCTGCAGCGCTGCGGGGACTCCGGTCAGCCCCAGGAGAATCGGCCAACCTGCAAAAGACCACATCCCCACCTGAGGTCTTGGCTCTGGTGTCACCTCCTGGAGTGGCCTTCCTGGCACCCCAAGTCTCTCACCTAACGCACTGCACCAGACCAGTCATGCTCTGTCCATGGAGTAAGTGCTGTGTAAGGGCAGGGACTCTGTCGTTCTCCCCCTGGGTCCCAGCACCGAGAACAGGGCCTAACGAGGTGTGGACACTCAGTCAGTACTTACAGAAGGGACAAGTGATGATAATACTGCACACCTAGCAGACTGGCAGAAAAGAAAAATTCTGATAATGCCAAGTGCTGACAAGGATGTGGGCAAATGGGAACTCTCCACAATGTGTTCTGTGAACACAGAGGGCAGTCTGGAGGATCTAGTGAAGCTGGACATCCTTATAGCCTCCACCGGCAGTTCTGCTCCCTGACATGTGTGTGCCCTGGGCCACCAGGACAGGGGAACTAGAATCATCAAAGCAGCACCAATTCTGGAAACTAAAACAGAAAAATGAAAATGTCCATAACATTAGAATGGATCAATAAATTGTGGTGTGTTCATAAAATGGAATTCTGTACCTCAGTGGAAAGGAAGCAAGCCACAGCAAGGGCAAATCTCACCAACAGGATGTCTAGTACAAGAGTCTACACAATGTGACTCCAATTATAGGAAGCTCAGAAGTAGGTAAGATCAACTCTATCGTTGCAAGAGGTGGAAAAGGTCTCTGGGTGGCACAAACAGTTTCTGTTCGTCTATTAATCTAAAGGTTGGTGGTTCAAACCCACCCAGTGGTGCCACAGAAGAAAGTCCTGGTGATCTGTTTCCATAAAGGTTACAGCCAAGAAAATCCTGTGGAGCAGTTCTACTTTGTAACACATGGGGTCGCCAGGAGTCAGAATGAACTCAATGGCAACGAGTTTGTTTTGTTTGTTTTTTGAAAGGTGGTGAGGCTATGGAAAAGCAAAGACATAATGATCATAAATGTCAGCACAGAGGCTCCCCTGTGGGTGACAGGGGCATGACTGTGGGGCACACAGTGGCTTCGGGGGGACTGGTGTGGTGCTAGGTCTGGACCTGGGTAGTGGTTACACAGGTGCATGGTTTCTATTGTTTAATTACCTGTACATTTATGTTTTATGCACTTTTCTTTATGCATGTTATATTTCACAGTAGAAAGGGTTAAAAAATAAATGAATGAATAGTTTAGGCGCCTTCAATCAGTTACCAGTTATGGTGGAGTTGATTCTGCCTCATGGTGACCACATGTGTGTCAGAGTAGAGCTGTGCTCCATATGGCTTTCAGGGGCTGATTTTTCACAAGTAGGTCCCACAGGGGCGGAGTACCCAGTAAGCAAGGTAAACATGGGCTTACTTGTGCTTACTTACTGATGGGTAGTGAACAAGTTCACATGGGTTTCATCACATCTTTGATATGGGGAAAAACGTGAAACTTCACTACAGATTAGTAAGTAAGCACAAGTAAGCCCGTGCTTACCTTGCTGATCGGGTACTCCATCCCTGTCAGGGATTGTAAATTTGAAAAGAGGTTTTGATTCTGTATGAAGGAACTGTGGGTTTGGGGGACAGATGCCAGCCGTACCTAGAAGCAGAATCTTTGATGTGGTGAAAAAAATGTGAAAGTGTTCACTACAGATTAGTAAGTACAAGTAAGCCCGTGCTTACCTTGCTTATTGGGTAATCCAACACCGGGTGGCCTGGCTACCAGTTTGCAGCCCTGGCTGTCCACCACAGCATTTGCAGTTCCCTGAACACACAGGGCTTTTACACTTCCTGTCCCTCTGCCCACGTAGGAATGCTGGGCCTACACACACCCCAATCCCAGGCCCTCTCTGAGGCCCCTTCTTGGGCAGAACATTCACTCACTCCCCCTCCCCGGTACCACAGAACGCTTCACAAACGCCTAGGTTCTTTATATTGCTTTGAGTCTGGTTTACGTGCCCATCACCACGTGCTCCCTGAAGCGGGAACCATAGCTTTTCCACCTCTGGGCCCAGCTCCCAGTGAGGGTGGGCACCTCAACACAGGTTGTTCAGTGGTTAAACACTGGGCCCAAGCTGCTGGGTTTGCACCTTGCACACATTGTCTGACCTCTCTGCTGAAGGCTACACATCTATAAATGGGTTTGATAATAGTACATACTTCATAGGGTTGTTTGGAGGATTGAATGAGTTAGTGTAAAAGACCCTGCCCCAGAAAAACACTATACGTTTTGACTTGTGTCCTTATTAATGATGATTTTCCTTTCAGAGGTTCCAGACATGGGATAAAGAAAGGAGAGGTCACATAAAAACGATGACAGCTACAAGTTGCTGCACACCTACTACAGCCAGGCCCCCATGTCTTGGGGAGGGTGGTGCAGGCTCAGGAGTCCGGTTTCTACCCCCACCCTGCAGTGCACAGCTTCACCTTCCGGGGGCAGGCCCCTGCCTCTGGGCTTCCTTGTGCTGGCCACAGTGTCAGGCAGTCGTGGCTCTGGGAGGCACTTATGAAACAGAGCCCGGTGGCCCTAAGCACAGAGCTTGGCACACTGGTGGCCATCATTACTGAGCCACAGGCCCTGGTACCAACAGCCACCCAGCAGGCCAAGAGAAGCTGATCCCCCAGAAGGCAGGCCATGGCACTTCCTGCTGACTCAGAGCCACCTAGTCTCCGTGGGAGGCACTGAAACATAAGCCAGTCCACCTCCACAAACACCAGACAGGCACTGTAGGGTCAGGGCTGAGGCTCCCCAGGAGAGCTGACTGATTAGAGAGAAAAGACCAGCTGTAGAAACGTCAGGCCTGTGCCCACTGCTTCGGAACAGAGGGGGCCTGAGGGAGGGCCGAGGGTCCGGAGCAGTTCTGAGCTCACCTTCTTCATTTGCGAGGAGACTCCGGAGCCCGAGGATCTGAGCCACGAGGATGCCGACAGTGATGAAGAGCTGGGGTACTACCCCAAGGGCCCCTCTCAGGTTCTTAGGAGCCAGTTCCCCTAGGTACATAGGGACCACATTGGAAGACAGACCTGGGAGGGGGGTTCAAACAGGAACATGATCAGGGAAAATTAGTCTGTCAGGACAAGCTGTGTCTTCAAATGCTGTACATGTCTTCTAACTTTGCAATCACACAATTCTGGCCAGAACTTTCCCAAAACTATAAAAAAGAAAGCAAACATTTCTTTTAGTTCTTAGCTCTTTAATTTTGGGGAAAAAGAAAACAGGCCACAGAAGCTCATGAGCAGGCCCCCTTGCTTCTTGACTGGCGTCACCATGGGAACCCAGGCAGGCTGGATCTCTGGTCTTCCCTCCTAACTGGCCTAGGTCTCAGAGAGGAAAAAGTTAAATATGGCCCAGACACTCTTCTCCTCACTTGCTCCTTGGGGAGACTCTGTTAATAAAAGGCCAAGGACTCCTTCCCACCAGCTTTACCTTCTGAGAACAGCATATCACATTACATACCTAGGCACAGACACATTTATACACATTTAAGCACCAGCTATAGACAGTTATCCAGAAACGTAAAAAAATTTAATATATATCGTGGAATCTCTGCATTTCTGAGATTTATGTATAGAGTATATTCTATTATGGTGCTGGCGAAGAATATTGAATATAGCACAGACTGCCAGAAGAATGAACAAATCTGTCTTGGAAAAAGTACAGCCAGAATGCTCCTTAGAAGTGAGGATGGCAAGACTTCGTCTCACGTACTTTGGACATGTTATCAGGAGGGACCAGTCCCTGGAGAAGAACATCATGCTTGGTAAAGTACAGGGTCAGTGAAAAAGAGGAAGCCCTTCAACGAGATGGATTGACACAGTGGCTGCAACAATGGGCTGAAGCATAGTAAAGATGGTGAGGATGGCACAGGCCTGGGCAGTGTTTTGTTCTGTTGTACACAGGGTCGCTATGAGTTGGAACCAACTTGACGGCACCTAACAACAACAACATGTAATATAGTAAAACCTGCAGAAGTGGGAATCTGTAAGGCGGGAACCTGTCAGAGAAGGAAAACTCAAGTATTTTCCACTAAAACCAGCAGTAGAAAAGTGGCAAGACTGCACACTGTCAAAGGTGGAAAATTTGCAAGACTCGGAAAAACAAGGCAGTCCCATAGAGTTCCGGCTGTCACAGGTTTCACTGTACGTGTTGGTGTGTGCCATCGAGTCGGTTCTGACTGATAGTGACCCTATAGGACAGAGTAGAACTGCCCCATCGGGTTTCCAAGGCTGTAATCTTTACGGGAGCAGATCACCAGGTCTTTTCTCCAGCGGAGCAGCTGGTGGGTTCAAACTGCTGACCTTTTGGTTAGCAGCCGATCATGTAACCATGGCACCACCAGGGCTCCCTTGTAATACATGTAGTACTTCCAAATCCCCAGTATTTAAACTTGTACAGTTTCCCCTCATGCTGACCCCCTTAAGAATAGATGGAGTAATTTAACAGGTCCGGAAGTATTCTCACACCTGTCATCCCATTTAATTTTCTGACAAGCCCAATGAGAAGCCGAGAATCTCTAAGGAAGCTCAGAGGGGCTGTTACTAGCCCAATCATCAGACTGCTAGTCAAGCTGAGGCTCAGAAAGACGAGGGGGTCTGTTATGGATTGAATTGTGTCCCCCCAAAATATGCATTGAAATCCTAGCTCCTATACCTGTGGAAGTAGTCCTTGGGCTTGAGGTTCATGTCCACCAGCAGCACCTTGGAAAAACAGCCTGGTGATCTACATCTGAAAAATCATCCCCTGAAAATCCTATGGAACACAGTTCTACTCTGACACACATGAGGTTGCCATCAGTTGGAACCGACTTAGTGGCAATTTTTTTTTTTTTTTTTAATACTAGTGGATGTGATCCCATTTGAAAATACAGTGTTCTTTGTTCTATTAATTAGGCCATACCCAAGTATAAAACCAAAAAACCAAAACCATTGCCATTGAGTCAATTCCAACTCATAGCAATCCTATGGGACAGAGTAGAACTACCCATGGGGTTTCCAAGGCTGTAAATCTTTACGGAAGCAGATGGTCACATCTTTCTCCTGCAGATCAGTTGGTGGGTTTGAATCACTGACCTTTCAGTTAGCAGCTGAGTGTTTAACCACTGTACCACCAGGGCTCCTTTACTCAAGTGGGGTGGCTTCTAAATCTAATTACTTTATAGAGTTATAAAGAGAGCGGAATAGACACAGAGACACACACGGGGAAGAGGAAGACAGACCATGCAGACAGGTACATCTACAAGGACTGCAGGCAGCCACTAGAAGCTGAAATAGACAAGGAAGGGCCTCCCTCTACAGCCAGCCCCTGAATTCAGACTTCTAGCCTCCTGAACTGTGAGACAATAAATTTCTATTCTTTAAAGGCACCTACGTGTGGTATTTGTGTTACAGCAGCAGTAGGGAACTAAGTCAGAGCCTGAGAGGGAGGCCCTGGCCACAGGGAGACATCGAGGGAACACAGTTTGGGGTCAGTGATGGCTAGAGCAGCTAATTAAGGTGACTGGGTGGTGCAAACAGTTTGCACTGGACTACTAATCTAAAGATTGGCAGTTTGAACCCACCCAGCAGCTCCTCAGAAGAAAGGCCTGGCGATCTGCTTCTGTAAAGATTACAGCTTAGAAAACCTTATGGAGCAGTTCTACTCTGTCACATGGGGTCACCATTGGTCAGAATCAACTCAATGGCAAGGGGTTTGTTTTTTATTGGTTTTTTTTTTTAAATAATAATATTGAGATAGGAGGGTTCTGAAGGCTAGGTTTTCCTGTTTTGCAATTCTGCTCAAGGATACCTCTGCTTAGTATTTCAAAAGAGAAATCACAAGTTCATTAACACCAATTCCTTCAGGTTTTCAGAGAAAAGAGGAACAGTCTTTGGAGCAGCCCTCTGGGGGAGAGGGTGCACTCTGAGCCCACCTGGTGCCCAGAGGGCTATGAGGAAGGGAGGGCTCCTGGAAGCTGAGACCTACTGAGGTCCACTGTTCTCACCATTTACCAGGCCTAGTGAGAAGCACTGTTGCTTCCTAACCACAAGGGATTGTGGACATAATTAAAGAGCAAACTTGGGGGTATGTATGAAGAGACAGGATTACCTCTAAGCTAGTGGAAAGCAATCTCTATTTTGTCTTAAAAATACTCCACTGGGGGAAAATGCAGAACAGAATTTCAGATTCGCATGGAATCCAGACTTTCTGGAGCCATGGAGGCTGGGGGAACTCCTGAAACTATTGCCCTGAGATAATCTTTAAACCTTAAGCCAAAAATTTCCCCTGAAGTCTTCTTAAAACCAAACAATAGTTTAGCTTAACTAGGAAAGAATGTCTGCCTTGAGCATTAGGTTTTTTTTAAGATCTATCTATATGGGATTAAATTGACAACAGCGATTTGAAAAATTAGATAGGAACCTTAGGGGGCAGTGAGTTTCTGTTAATGGGGGAGGAACAACTCAGAAAAGGAGGGTGAGAATAGTTGCACAACTCGAAGAATATAATCAATGTCACTGAATTGTACATGTAGAAATTGTTGGATTGGTGTATGTATGTTTTGTTCTTAACAACAACAAACAAAATAAATTATTTCAAAAGGTGAATTTTATAGTATGTGAGTTATATCTCAATAAAACTGTTATTAAGAAAATTTAAAAAACAACAACAAAAAAGACTTCACTGGGCTCTCCCGGCCAGTCTGTTCTGTCCAACACTAGAGCCAGAACAAAGTGGCTTTTAAGGTTGAAATTCCTTCAAGCCAGTGAAAGTTTTCAGTGTTCTTGCCCTTACCAAGAAATTGACTATGAACAAATCAGTAAACTCTGAGCATCTTGAAATCTGAACTTGAATGTAATCTTTATGTAAGCAGATCACCAGGCCTTTCTTCTGCAGCACTGCTGGGTAGGTTCAAACCGCCCACCTTTCCATTAGTAGCCAAGCACAAACCATTTTACCAGCTAGGAACCACATCTTGAAGTCCAGGTCACATTTATCTTTGCATTTTCTTTGTCAGAGTAGGTGTTTACTCCCTTGTTAGAGGGAACTGTGAGGTTCATGTTAATAGGAGTGCTTTTAAATGAGTTTCTGATTAGCACGGAGCTAGATTGCACACTCCACTGACTTCCAGGAGGCATGTGAAAGAATTAACTATAAATGGGTTACACATTAGCAAGCATTCTCAGAGCATCAGCAAAGACCCCAGGACTCCTGAGACCTTTTCTGACACCGTGGCTGCAACAGTGGGTTCAAACATAACGATTGTGAGGATGGCGCAGGATCTAGCAGTGTTTCAGTCTGTTATGTATAGGGTCGCTATGAGTCGGAACCGACTCCACAGCACCTAACAACGACATAAGTCTGAAGGGGCCCCGGTGGCCCAGTGGTTAAGCGTTTGACTGCTAACCAAAAGGTCAGCAGTTCAAATCCACCAGTTGCTCCTTGGAAACCCTATGGGGGCAGTTCTGCTCTGTCCTATAGGATTGCTATGAATCAGAATTGACTTGATGGCAATGGGTTTTTTGGTTTTAGGGCCAAAACTGTTTTTATAATAGTACTGAGATGGTAGTTACCCTTTTCATTCTTGTTCTCTTGTGAGTGAACAGTGAAGACTTCCAGAGGTTATGTGACATGTAGGAGTCGCTGGGTGGCACAAATGTACTGGACTACTAACCAAGAGGTTGGCGGTTCAAACCCACCTAGAGGAGCCTTGGAAGTAAGGCCTGGCAATCTGCTTCTGAAAGATCACAGCCTTGAAAACCCTGTGGAGTGCTGAGGGACTGAACCACTGGGCGGAGGGCTGTGAGAACCATGCTCTCAGGCAACATCCAGCTCAATTGGCATAACACAGTTTATGAGGAAAATGCTCTATATTCTACCTTGGTGAGTAGTGTCTGGGGTCTTAAAGGCCTGTGAGCAGCCATCTAAGATACTCCCCTTCGGGAGCAATGGAGAATGAAGAAAACAAGCTATAAGGAAAAGATTAGTCCAAAGGACTGATGGACCACAACTACCATGGCCTCCACCAGACTGAGTCCAGTACAACTAGATGGTGCCCAGCTACCACCACTGACTGCTCTGACTGGGATCACAACAGAGGGTCCAGACAGAGCTGGAGAAAAATGTAGAACAAAATTCTAACTCACAAAACAAGAGCAGACTTACTGGCCAGGAGATTTGCAAAAATACAAAAAAAAAAAAATCCCACTCTTCTCACTGCATTTTCTGTTTTAGAAAATGTAGTTATTTTTCACAAAAACAAATAACGGGTTTATTATTATTTTTTAAATGAATTCATGTATTTCTCAGTTGTAATTTCTAATACGGTAGATATTGACAGATATAACCCATATAAGCAAAAGCTATTTGGAGCCTTCAATAATTTTAAGAGTGTAAAGGGGTCCTGAAACCAAAAACTTTGATAATCGCTGGCTTAATGTTTCTCAGACCCAGTTGCTGTTAAGCTGACTCCGACTCATGGTGACTTCATGTGTGTCAGAGTAGAACTGTACTCCATAGGGTTTTCAAAGGCTGATTTTTTTCACCAGGACTTTCTTTTGAAGTGCCTCTAGGTAGACTTGAATCTCTAACCTTTTTTTTTTTTAAATTGTGCTTCATGTGAAATTTTACGGAGCAAATTAGTTTCTCATTTAATAATTTATACACAAATTGTTTGGTGACATTGATTGCAATCCCTGCGATGTGTCAACACTCTCCCCTTCCACATCCCAATTCTCCATTTCCATCTGTCCATTTTTCCTATCCTTTCCTGCCTTCTTATCATTGCTTTTAGGTAGGTGTTGCCCTTTTGGTCTCATATACATGATTGAACTAAGAAGGATGTTCATCACATGTGTTATTGTTTGTTTTATAGACCTATCTAATCTTTGGCTGAAGAGAGTTAAAGGGGTGTCCAGGGGCCATAGTCTCCAGGGTTCTTTCAGTCTCTGTTAGACCAGTAAGTCTGGTCTTTTTTTTAATTTGAATTTTGTTCTACATTTTTCTCCCACTCTTTCTGGGACCCTCTATTGTGATCCCTGTCAGAGCAGTTGGTGGTGGTAGCCAGGCATCATCTAGTTCTTATGCGCTCATGCTGGTGGAGGCTATGGTACTTGTGATCCATTAGTCCGTGGGGCTAATATTTCCCTTGTGTCTTTGGTTTTCTCCATTCTCTTTTACTCCGGATGGGACCAGTAGATGTAGCGGGATGGCCACTCGCAAGCTTTTAAGACTCCAGATGCTACTCACTTAAGTTGGATGTAGAACATTTTCTTTATGTACTTTGTTATGTCAGTTGACCTAGATGACCGCCACGACCATGGTCCCCTAGCCCTCGGCCCCAGTAACTCAGTCCCTCAGGGTGTTTGGATGTGTCTATGAAGCTTCTATGACTTTGCTTTGGTCAAGTTGTGCTGACTTCCCCTGTATTGTGCACTATGTTTCCCTTCACCAAAGTTAATTATCTACTTAACTTCTCTACTATCTAGTTAATGATTTCCTCTCCCCAACCCTCTCCTCCTTTGTAACCATCAAAGACTATTTCCTTCTGTGTGGAAACCTTTCCTTGAGTTTTTATAATAGTGGTCTCGTACAGTATTTGTCCTTTTGTGATTGACTTATTTCACTCAGCATAATGCCCTCCAGATTCATCCATGTTGTGAGATATTTCACGGATTCATCATTGTTCTTTTTCGTTGCATAGTATTCCATTGTGTGTATGTACCATAGTTTGTTTATCCATTCATCTGTTGATGGGCACTTAGGTTGTTTCCATCTTTTTGCTATTTTGAATAATGCTTCAATGAACATGGCTGTGCATACGTCTATTTGCGTGACAGCTCTTGTTTCTCTAGGATGTATCCCTAGGAGTGGGATTGCTGGATCATATGGTATTTCTGTTTCTAGCTTTTTAAGGAGGTGTCGTATTGTTTTCCATAGTGGTTGGACCATTTTACCTTCCCACCAGCAGTGCGTAAGAGTTCCAGTCTCCCCACAACCTCTCCAACACTTGTTATTTTCTCTTATTTTGATTAGTGCCAGTAATGTCCGGGTGAGATACTATCTCATTGTAGTTTTGATTTACATTTCTCTAATGGCTAATGATGGCCAGCATTTCCTCACGTGTCTGTTAGCTGCCTGAATGTCTTCTTTGGTGAAGTGTCGAATCTCTAACCTTTTGGTTAGCAGCTGACTGCTTTAACCACTGTGCCATTAGGGCTCCTTTGGTACCACCCAGGGACTCCCAAAGTAATGCTTACTTAAGGGGAAAGGTTAGGATCTTTAACTGTGGTTTGTTATCTATTGAAGCTGACTCTAGGTAGTCCCTGACTTTATCACGTATTCAAGTTGCGACGAACTCCACTTATAGCAGTCTGTTTTATTTTTTTTGTACAGCTTATCATTAGTTATACGTACCACGTAGAATGCTGCAGCACGTACATTGCTAATGTTATCATTATCTGTAACTTTATATGTAATGTTTCCAACCCCCATAGATAAAGATCGGATCTATAAAGATATTGATAATAAAAGGCAGTAATAATAAAAACTAAAAAAAAAAAGTATTCGACTTATGTCAGAACCAGTTTACTATGGAGTTGTCAGGACAGAACCTCGCCATAAGTTGGGGACTACCTGTATTTCCCTGTTGGAACCAATTCTGAATTGTTGGCTGGTCTACAGGAAAGTGACTGGACCGTTCACTGCTGATGGCTTCGGGAATCATCTATTTATTGCAACAGCTGAGCTTGCTGCAGGGCCAACCTGAAGGTGGGAGCAGGGCCAGGACCAGGTGCCTGCATGTCCAGGTGCTCTCAGGGAAAGCTTCGGACTAAGTCCGGCTTGCTATGGGGCCCATCATTTCCACTTGAAATGATCTCCTCCCTCTACAGGAAACTTGTTCTCTTATTTTTCTCCCCAGTCCTGCAATTCTTCATTACTGCTCTTGACACAAGGCTACTTGACTTCTCTACTATTGTCAGTTAACTCCAGCTGAGGCTGCTGACATCTGGCCAAATCACCCATTCTCTACCTCATGCTCTAACTCTCTTAAAAATGAGAGTTACTTGGCAATGTCAGGGCCAGAGGTAGGGCATAAACTTTCCAGAGGCCTCACTCCCAGGTGTCCACCCTGCACTTACATGACCCTGAGAGTGGGCACCTCCTTAAACTTGGCTCCCCAGGTGCTTGCTCTCCTCCCCCTGGTGTGGCCCTGGGAAATACTGTCTACAAAAGGACGACACAGTGGGGAGGGGCAGAAACATGGCTTTGACCAGCATCTCTCTCTAGTTTAAGCCAATTATGGGAGAGATTTCTACAATCACCGAAGTACACAGACTGGCCAATAGTTCTGGAGGGCAACAAGCCAGTCTTTGCAAACCTGCTCCATGGTTTATCAGGTGAGAGACCCCAGACAAGGCGTTAGCTTCTCTCAGCAGGTGGGCATTAAGGAATAAGTGAAATAGTGCCCATGAAAAATCCTTTGCAAACTTTAAAGTGCCCTATAGTATACTATGGTTAAGTGCTCGGTTGCTAACCAAAAGGTCAGCAGTTTGAATCCACCAGCCACTCCTTGGAAATCCTATGAGGCAGTTCTATTCTGTCCTATAGGGTGGTTATGAGTTGAATTGACTTGAAGGCAATGGGTTTGGTTTCTGTATACTATGCTGCAGGCATCTGGTGGCACAGTGGTTAAGCCCTCGGCCACTAACAGAAAGGTTGGTGGTTTGAACCCACCAGCCACTCTGCGGGAGAAAGATGTGGCAGTCTGCTTCCCTGTGGGGCAGTTCTACTCCGTCCTGTGGGGTTGCTGTGAGTCAGAATCAACTTGACAGCAATGGGTTTGGTTTGGTTTTATACTATACTATACTACCAGTGGAGCTCTGGTGGCACAGTGGTGAAGTGCTATGGCTGCTAACCAAAAGGTCGTCAGTTCAAATCTACCATCTGCTCTTTGGAAACCCTATTTTTTTTTTAATGCTACCAGTGGTTAAGAGCTTGGCTGCTAACCAAAAGGTCGGCAGTTCAAATCCACCAGCCACTCCTTGGAAACGCTATGGGGCAGTTCTACTCTGTCCTATAGGGTCTCTATGAGTCAGAATTGACTCGATGGCAACGGGTCATGCTACCAGTATTTCAGGTACCAACAGGGTCACCCATAGTTTCAGCAGAGCTTCCAGACTAAGACAGAGTAGGAAGAAAGGCTTGGTGATCTACTTCTGAAAATTCACCAATGGAAACCCTATGGATCACAACAGAATACTATTCAATATAGTGCTGGAAGATGAGCCCCCTAGGTTCGCAGACACTCGAAATATACAGTGGCCAGAACAGTGGACTTGAGCATACCAACGATTGTGAAGATGGCACAGGACCGGGCAACATTTCATTCTGTTGTTCATGAGGTCACCATGAGTGGGAGCCAACTCGACAGCAACCAACAACAACAGAAAAGTTGAAAGGTTGCTATTATTAACTCTTTTTTTGGTAGAGGGATTCCTACATTAGATCACTTCTCGAACTTTTTTGACCACCACTCCCCCTAAAAAAAATACAAAAGTACATTTTACATTGCATCCTGGTTCACACATACATATGTTAGTAAATAACTGAAAATAAAGTTTCAAAAGACAACACTTACCCTTACTACATATCATGCTTTCTATTCTATATCAGTTTTAAGAAGAAAAATGCTGCTCACTAAACAGATTTCACTACCCACTAACTGTTCATGGCCTGTGGTTTAGAAAACATCGAAATAAAGGGTTTGGATTGGAAGGACCCTTCCGAACCTAAGATTCTGTATTTCACTGCTTCCAAAGAACAGCTTTTTTTGCAGGAAGCATCACAGTAAGGATCACAGTAATGCTGTCTGTGCACAAGAATAATGTCGGGGTTCAAGCATCTTCTTCACTGCAGAGGCAAAGGAACAGCTTGAATTTATATGCTTCAGAGACCGGAGATTGGTTCAGATCCCTGGGAGTCTGTTCTTCCTCCTCCTTGATCATCCCAAATAACAGACTGGCAATACAGTGTAGCATTGTTTACCTGCACATATTCCCACCAAAAGTCTGGATATAATGATCATCTCAAATGACTCAGCGACCTTGCTGCATCCCATTAAGATCGCAGGCACAATGGAAAATATGTTGTTGAACAGCAAGGTCCCTTTTCTGCAGAGGACAAAACATCAGTTAGTTTGGTTTAAGGATTTGTTCACTGATTCAACAAGTATTCGTCAACTGTCTCCTCTGTGCAGCCTCCCCCGTCACCAACATGGGCTTTTCTGTTGTGTTTTAAGCTCTCGGTGACCTAAGACCGACACAGCTCAAAGGCATGGCCTGGTGTGGGAATATTCTCTGTGTTGGAGCAAATGGAAAGGACCACAATTCAGATGGTATCAGTGGTGAGAATGAAGAGAAAAGGGTGCCATATTACAAGTACAGGAAAAGATTTTTGAAGTCATAAGCTAACTTATGATTTTAGTACAGTCTTGCCAAACTGGGCAAGGACATTAGAAGAAGTGTAGGCCAGCCTCAATTATCAACCCAAAAAACCAAACTCACTGCCATCGAGTCAATTCTGACTTATAGTGACCCCACAGGACAGAGTAGAACTCCTCCATAAGGTTTCCAAAGCTGTAATCTTTACGGAAGCAGACTGCCATATCTTTCTCCCACAGAGCAGCTGGTGGATTTGAACCACTGACATTTTGGTTAGCAGCCGAGTGCTTTAACCACTGCACCACCAGGGCTCCTTCACTTATCAACATAGGTATAAAAATCATAAATATGAACAAGATGAATTCAATAGCATATTTACAACTCTTTCGATGTATTTCCCCATATTAAAGACTACACAAGGAGCCCTGGTGGCACCATGGTTAAGCACTTGGCTGTTAACCAAAAGGTCGGTGGTTGGAACCTGCCAGTTGCTCCGTGGGAGAAAAGACCTGGAAAGCTGCTCCCGTAAAGATTACAGCCTAGGAAACCTTATGGGATACTTCTACTCTGTCACATTGGGTCACTATGAGTCAGAATCGACTCGACAGCACCCAACAACAAAGATTATACAACTGAAAAGTCCCTCAACAATAGATAAACAAAATGTGGTATACCCATACAATGGAATACTACTCAGCCATAAAGAGAAATGAAGTCCTGATGTATGCCACTACATGGATCAGCTTTGAAAACATCATGCTGAGCAAATAAGCCAGTCACAAAAGGACAGATATTGTATGATCTAACTTATGTAGAAATTTAGATGGTATATGTTTTGTTATGTATATTTTCACCACCAAAAATAAAAGAAGATTATATTAGGGGAAAAGAGAGGACTATTTCAATAGAAGCAGCAAAAGAAGTCAATAAATTTAATACCCACTAGTTTTATGATTTTAATAAAAGGAGCCCTGGTGGCACAATGGTTAAGCATTCAGCTGCTAACTCTAAGGTCAGTGGTTCGAACCCACCAGACACTCCCCAGAAGAAAAGGCCTGATGATCTGCTCGCATAAAGATTACAGCCTAGGAAACCCTATGAGGAAGTTCCACTCTGTCTTAGAGGATCGCTATGAGTCAGAATCGGCGCGATGGCACACAACAACAGTAATTCAAAACAAAACAAAAAACCTTAACAAACTACAAATAAAGGGGATTTCCGTAAGCTGATAAGCTTCCTGAAGCTGGAGTTGGGCCAGTAGCTGCTCTGGAGAACCTGAAAGAAACAAAGACAAAACTTCTCTGGAGGGAACCCTCAATCCAGGCTCTCCAGGAGTCCAGAGTCAGGGACACTAATGATGGAGTGCCACCATTACAAAACACACGGAACAATCCACCATATGCAAGAGGCAGCACATACCAACAACACAGTTTCAGACAAAGAATTAGACAGATGGTAAAATGCTAAAAATTATTAGTGCCATAAAATAGGGAATCAAAATGGTACTATAGGAATGAACAAAAACCATACAAAACAGTAACAAGAACAGATTTTTAAAACAAACATAAAACCTTTTGAAATGAAAACTATAGTCATTGAAATTTCAAATTTAGCAGGTGAATTACAGCTGAAGAGAGAATTAATGAATTGGAATGTAGGCTTGGAATGCAGAAATTACCTAGAAAGCAACAGAGAGATAATAAGATGGAAATTGTGAGAGATTAAAAGACGTAGAGCAACTCTGTGGGGTTCTAAAAGGAAAGAATATAGAAAGTGGAGGAGAGGCAATATTTGAAGAGCTAGTGGCTGAAAATTTTCCAGAATTGATGACAAAGACATAAAACCGCAGACAAGGAACCACAGTGCGTTCCAGGATGAATAAAACTAAATCCACTCCTTGACCCATCATGGTGAAACATTATTGAAGGACACAGAAGAAGCTCTGAAGAAAATGGAGAGCTCTAGCTTGCTCATGGATGGGAAACATTGTACTGATGTAGTTCTCAAATTATAAGTTCAAAGCAATTCCAATGAGAATCTTTTTTCGAGGGTTTTGATAAACTGATTTAAAAATTCAATGGAAGAGTAAAGGAGTATGAATAATTAAGATAAATTTGAGAGCAACTGACTTTCTACATGGAAAAAATAAGATAAAATTAGCTCTCTCTCATCATATTTTAAAATAAAATTCCAGATCTATCTGGGAAGAACAAAATTGTAAAATTATTTTTTAAAGTATAGAATATCCTTATGACACCAGTCTTTCTTAAGACACAAAATACAAAAGCCATAAATGAGAGTTAAATTCAACTACTTGAAAATGAAAAAAAAAAAAAATACTGCATACAAAGGCCACTATATGTATGGTTGAAAGAACAAATCTGTCTTGGAAGAAGTACAGCCAGAATGCTCCTTAAAGCAAGGATGGTGAGACTAGGTCTCACATACTTTGGACATGTTATCAGGAGGGATCAGTCCCTGGAGAAGGACATCATGCTTGGTAAAGTAGAAGGTCAGTGAAAAAGAGGAAGACCTTCAATAAGATGGACTGACCCAGTGGCTGCAACAATGGGCTCAAGCATAGCAATTGTGAGGATGGCGCAGGATTGGGCAGTGTTTCGTTCAGTTGTACATAGGGTCGCTATGAGATGGCACCTAACAACAACAACATATGTATGATTACAAAACAAAAAACAAAAAAGCAACAGGTTGTGAGGATATGTGTTCCATATAAGGCAGTACAGTATGTGTTACTAGCACATACTCAGAAGCAAAATTTCCCAGGTTGGAGTCCTGGCCACCTCCTGGCTGTATAGTCATGGTTACGTTACAGCATCTCTCTTTGCCTCGTTTTCCCATCTTTAAAATGAGGATGCTAATAATACTTTCATCAGTGGCTTTTGTAACAATTCAATGAGACAGCACATGAAAAGCACTCAGGCTAATGTCTGGCACATAGGAACTCATCAATAAGTGTCAGCTGTTACTGTTATTCAAAGAGTACCTACAAATCCTTAAAAAAACCTCGAACAACTACACAGCATTTATCTCATTCTTAAGTAGACAGTTTTATAGGCAACTTCCGGCTCTATTTGCTGACCCAAATGACAAGTCTTTCACTCAAGGAGAAGTTACCTACAGATCTAACTGGCTTGAGTAAGTCAGTTCGTTAGCCCCATGGAGGCCCACAGGGAGAAGTGCCGCACCCCCCATTTAATAACTGTGGTAAATATATATGTAACAAAACATGTGCCATTTCAACATTCTTCACGTGTACAATTCAGTGACATTAATTACTTCACCATGTTGTTCAACCATCATCATTATCCGTTTCCAAATTTCCCCATCAGCCTTAACAGAAGCTCAGCGTCCCCTAAGCAATGAGTACCCCCTTCCCCTTGCCTTCTGCTCACCCCTGGTAACCACCAATAAACCCTGATGTCTACATACTTGCCTATTCTAGGTATTTCATGTAAGTGGGAGCATACAATATTTGTCCTTTTGTGTCTATTTCACCTAGCATAATCTTTTCAAAGTTCATCCATGTTGTAGTATGAATCAGGACTTCATTTCTCCTTATGGCTGAATTATAGTCCATTGTATGGATATACCACATTTTGTTTATCCATTCATCTGTTGATGGACATTTAGGCTATTTCTACTTTTTTTGCAATGGTGTACAGTGCTGCAATGAACATTGGTGTACAGGTTTCTGTTTGTATACCTGCTTTCAATTATTTTGGAGAAGCCCTTTTTGAATTGTGAGTTCAACACTAACCTTCTGTGAGGATCTTAGAATCTTAGATCCCAAACCAAACCGAAAACCAAAAAACCAAACCTATTGCCGTCGAGTTGATTCCGACTCAGTGATCCTATAGGACAGAGTAGACCTGCCCCATAGGGTTTCCAAGGAGCGACTGGTGGATTTGAACTGCCGACCTTTTGGTTAACAGCCATGGCAGTTAACCACTGGGCAACCAAACTGGATAGAGGTTGTATATTTCTATTCTAAGATCCTTTTTTAGAAATACTGGAGAAGAAACCAAAGTCTGGGCTCTGGTCTTGACTCTTGAGCTAAGTAGACCTGTGACCGAGAATGAGTGGCTTACCCTCCCCCAGCCTCTGTGGGCTCATCTGTGAAGGGACGAGATTGGACGAGATGACTCCAAAATACTGTGTATAACAAGGTTGCTCTCTAATTTCTGATGAATTTACACAGGGGAGTGCAACATCTTGAGGAAACTTGTTTGGGAATCAAATACAGAATATCCAATATTTCTAGAATTGGGGTCAATTCTGCCCCTGGCATTCAGGACACTCATGTCACCATGAGAGATACCCTAAGACCACACTGTCTCACACTGAAGTACCTGACATTTATCCAAACCATTTCAAAGCTTTAAAGGTATTTCACTGAATCTGGGCTAAACTTTGCGTTTTACCTGATCCCAAGGTAAAAGAGGAGTCCTAGGTGATACAAACAGTTAAAGCACTCTGTTGCTAACCAAAAGTTTGGCAGTTCAAGTCCACCCGGAAGTGGGAGAAAGTCCTGGCAATCTAATCCTGAAATATCAGCCACTGAAAACTCAGTGGAGCACATCTACTCGGACACACACACAGGGTCACCGTGAGTTGCAGTCAACTCAATGGCAACTTGTTTTTAAGGTAAAAGAAGAGATCTTTGTGCTAGTTCAGGATGCAGAGAACATTATGTTGTGATCTAGGTTGTGACGGACATCTTGACCATGTCATCTTGGTGTTTGATCCTTCTAAAGGCAGAAAAATAGAGGAGAGAAGTTGCTTTTTGTTTATGTTACGGAAAATACCAAGCAGGCAAAAGAGCAGTGAGCGAGAGTCCTGGATCCTCATGAGCAAACTCTGCTCGTTACGAACCCATCCAAGAGCCTGGAGATCCCCACTAATCCCGACTTCTAACCTCTCAGACATTGGCTGAGTCCCCAAACACTATGTCCATGTCTGGTGTCTTAGTTTTCTAGTGCTGCTATAACAGAAATACCACAAGTGGATGGCTTTAACAAACAGAAATTTATTCTCTCACAGTCTAGAAGGCCAGAAGTCTAAATTCAGCGTGCCAGCTCCAGGGGAAGGCCTTCTCTCTATCAGCTCTGGGGGAAGGTCCTTGTCATCAACCTTCCTCTGGTGTAGGAGCTTCTCAGTGCAGGGACCCCTGGTCAAAAGGACGCGCTCCGCTGCTGGCTCTTCTTGCTTGGTGGTAACGAGGTCCCTATTCCTCTGCTTGCTTCTCTGTCCTTTTATCTTTTGTAAGATAAAAGGTGATGCAGGCCATACCCCAGGGAAACTTCCCTTATACCGGATCAGGGCTGTGACCTGAGTAAAGGTGTTGCATCCCATCATAATCCTCTTTAACATAACCTAATCTTGCCTCATTAACCACAGGCAGAGATTAGGATTTACAACACAAAGGAAAATTACATCAGATCACAAAATGGAGGACAACAACGTAAAACTGGGAATCACGGCCTAGCAAAGTTGACACATATTTTTTGGGGGACACTATTCAATCCATGACATCTGGTCTTGTTATGATCACATTAACCTGTTGCTGTTGAGTTGATTCCAACTCATAGCAATCCTACAGGAGAGAGTAGAACAGCCCCATAGGGTTTCCAAGGAGCAGCTGGTGGATTCTAACTGCCGACCTTTTAGTTAGCAGCCAAGATCTTAACCACTGCACCACCAGGGCTCCATGATCACATAGAAAATAACAATTACCACAGCGGTTAGTGCCCTAGTCTTACAATAAAGATTTCTGTTTTAGGCCTAGGTTTTAAACCCTGATGTGGTCTATGAGTTTTTGGAGTCAAAAATTCACCTTCCCTTACCTGCCAAGTCTAGTCACCAAGGGGCCGACCAGGAGGGATCCGATGAAGCCTCCGAAGGGGAACATGGACACAGTGACAGACCACAGCAAGGTCAGGGAGGACTCAGAAACATATTCACCGTATCTTTTGTAGTAGGTGTCATTGTAAAACTGCTTCATGATCTGGAGAGCAAAACAAAGCAGAACACCCAAATGATCTGGCCTGGCTTGGAGAAAGAACAATGGAAGATGTTAGGCCACCCCCGGGGACAGCCCGGGCACACAGATACCAACTGATTCAGCAGAGGAGATGGAGTTAAGACACTGTCGTGGGTCCCCACGGGGGAGGGCTTCGAGGCCTCTGACATGCAAACCGCCCAGCACATTTCTCACACCAGAAGCCGCTGGGTGACCCTGCCCCCTCTGGATCCATCTGTAAGTTTTGAGGTCACAGAAAATCTGAGCTCCCTTCTGAGACCAGCCCATGTGTGTCCAGCTGGGTCTGGCCCATGAGTGTTCTCCATGAGAAGCTGAGGGTCTGGGGACCTGATTCATTCTAATGAACCAAGTTCCCTTGGGTCTGCACTGTACGTCCTGTCTCTTTGCTTGAGAACCCACTGTGTGCATTCACTGTGCACACAGTCCCACTCTGGCTGGACCCTCCCTGTTTCTTCAGGGGCTGCGTCTCATCCATCTCAGAGACCTACCTCCGCAGGGGAGTTGACAACAGACACGTTGTACCCATACTGGAAGGACGACCCAAAGGCAGCAATCAGTGTAGCCAGGGCCAGTAGAAGCGTCAGCCTCTGTGGAGAGATTATGGTTGTGTCAGGAAGCAGTCCCGGGGCCCAAGGGGTGACCCACTTTACTTCAAAGGGCCCCAGTCTTGTAGAAAGACATAAGAGAATCTGAAAATCTGCTGTCTTTCAACTGCTCCCATCTTGACACATACCCTCTACCTTCCTTGGGTTAGGACAGGCTTTCTTAACTGTGAGACTACAGACATTTTGGGTTGGGTAATTCTTTGTTGTGGAAGGCTGTCCTGGGCATTGAAGCATGCCTGGCCGCTACCCTCTAGATGCCAGTAGCACATCCACCCAAATTATGACAACCCAAAATGTCTCTAACCAACCAGTTGCTGTTGAGTTGACTCCGACTCATGGTGCCCTCATGTGTGTCAGAGTAGAACTGCGCTCCATAGGGTTTCCAATGGTTGATTTTTCAGAAGTAGATCACCAGGCCTTTCTTCCAAGGTGCCTCTGGGTAGACTCAAACCAGGGCTTTGAACGTGTTCGTTCTGGTTCGAACCGCTGCTGAGAATTTGCATTTCCATCCCAGATGTACTGAATCACAATCTACAGTTTAACAACATCCCCAGTTGATTCTTATGTATAATAAATGTTGAGAACCACTGCTGTACTAGTGGTTCTCAGAATTGGTCTCTAACCAGCAGCATTGGCATAGCCTTGGAACTTGTTAGAAATGTAAATTCTCAGCAGGGATTCGAACCAGAACAAATGAGTTTGAAGCCCTGGTTCAAACCTCCAATCTTTCAGTTAGCAGCCAACCATTTGCACCATTCAGCTACTCCAAAATGTCTTTAGACATTGCCAAATGTCCCCTGGGATGGGGCAGGGATGCTCCCAGTTGAGAACCACTGGGTCCAAAAGAGCCTGAAAGGTCACCTACTCCCACGCTCCATCTAACATTTGAATTGCTTCTGTGACATTCCTGCCATATGGTTGCATTTGCTGACCACAGCCAAAATGTCTCAAGCACTGCCTCACACACAAACCTCCCAAAAATCAAAGAGAGAAAAAAAAATGGGGAAAATGTAATTATTTAGGGCCACCAATTAATTTCCTTTAGCCCCTGGACTTCTGCTGTAACAGGCAGAAGGAGCAGTGAAGAAACATAAATTAAAGCTATATTTAAATATAGATTGCTGGGCACTCTGAAACCCGAACATTCTGTGGTAATATCCCCCTTGAACACATGAGGAAACTGAATACTCATTTAAGGCAATGACGAGAGGGAATTCATTAGTGAAGTCATGAAAAAAGAGATAAAAGTGGAAAGAGCTTTGCTCTTGGAATGTACAGTCTCATTTTGCATGTGGCCACTGCCATTTCTAGCTTAGTTTCTCTGATCTTTGGTATCCTCATCTTTAAAAGGAGGATTATATCACTCGGGCACAGAGTTATTGCGAGGATTAATTATGAAAGTGTCAAGCTGTGGAGTTGAATCTATTGGGGTGAGCACAGGACGCTGCTCTCTGCATTCTCTATTGAAGACCTCCATCCTCTTTCACGTGTGATACACCCATGTCCACGCTCAACCCTTCTGGGCTCCTCCAGTGGGGAGCTGAGGGCTTCATGTCTCCCTCTGGACACTGTCCCACCAAATCTAATGAGGATTTCTTGAGAGAGTTAAGTGAGGAGAGAGGACAAGGAGGGAGAGAAACAGGCAGCCGGAGAGGACAGAGTTAACTTCCCAGAGCAGGGTGGACAATGAGCCTTCTTCAAGAGAGAAGCAATGAAAAACACAGTGACACTTAACCCTTCTCGTTTGCCTGCAGCACTCTTTTCCTTCCACCACCTTGAGTAACAAATCGTTAATTCAGCCGGAAGATTCTGGTAAGAAGTGAACCTCTGTCAAGGCACTCTAGCCATAGCAGCAGGCTCTGGCTGGAGTCTTTCCTCAACCCACACCCTTTCCTGGTGCCAGCGCTGCAGTGAGGAGAAGTGTGAGGAGGGGGTGATGGTGAGCAGGAGGGAAGGCGGTTTCCACGGCATTTTCTAAAGGCAGAAGGTGTGTGCACACATGCATTCACAAGCACACATACACACAGGCATGCACACGTGTGCATGCATACACACCATCCCTGAGATGTAGGACATGGCAGACTTAGCTCATATCCCATCTGAAGTGCCCTAGAGAGGCATTCACTCATTCATTTAACATATTAAGCACCTACTGTGAGCAGGCAGGCACTGTTCTAGGTGCTGGGGATATAGTGGTGAAGAAAACTAAGATCCTTTCTCTGTAGCTGGTCTAGTGCTTGATTTTTTTTTTTCTTTTAAACAGTGTTGATAAATATTTCTCCTCTTCATACCCTCTTTCCAGTAAGACAATTAACTATAAATGCAACAGACTTCACAGTGCATCCCCTGACCACTCTCTCAGTTCTGATGAAGCCCAAAGGTTTGAAGTCCTTTGGGTCAGGGGTGGCAGTTCTGGCCAGTGGCACACTCAACAAGCACAGCACAGCACGGGGTGGGGGTTGGTGCCCTGAGAACAAGGTGAGGGGGTTCTCTCAGAAGGGGATACCAGCCCCCTGACTGCTTTTATGGTCTCCAAGTGGGTCCCAGCAAAAATGATCAGAGAGCTCTCAGGCTGTAGCACCACTAAGAACAGAGCACACAATTCAACCTCCATTCTTTGTGTCCTCTTTGAATTTGAGCCACAGGGAACATTCTATGGACCCCAGAAAGGTCAGGTTTTAACATCTGTGGAAATAGCACAGACATTCTGGGTTAGTTTATTGACCTTGCTGTCCCAACTGCCTTCATTTATTAAAAAAAAAAAAAATTGCCGTCGAGTCGATCAGAGTAGAACTGCCCCGTAGCATTTCCAAGGAGTGGCTGGTGGATTTGAACTGCTGTCATTTTGGTTGGCAGCCATAGCTCTTAACCACTGCATCACAAGGGCAAATATTCATTGATAGCTGGAGTCCCTGGGTGGTGCAAATGGTTAACTCGCTTGGCTGCTAACTGAAAGGTGGTAGGTTTGAGTCTACCCAGAGGTGCCTCATAAGGCCTGGTGATCTACTTCTGAAAAATCAGCTATTGAAAACCCTATGGAGCAGTTCTACTCTGATACAGAGGGGGTGACCAGGAGTCAAAACTGACTCACCGGCAACTGGTTTGGTTTGGTTTATTGACAGCTGACAATACTCCAGACACTATGGTATACTCTGGAGAACTGAATGGAGGCAGTCCCTGCCCGTGAAGAGGTTATGGTCCAATGGGGAAGGCAGGCATTAAGAAAAATTACACGATAACTTAATAATTAAACTATAACCCTGGTAAGTTCTATGAAGAAAAAATACAGGAGTAGTTAAAAAGGGGAGTCATGGAAGTGACATTTAAGCTGGGACCTAAAGAAGGAAGGAAAGAGGAAGAAAGAAGGGTGTCCAGACAAGGGGAACAGCATGTGTGAAGGCCTGGGGCAGGAAGGAGTGTGAAATCTTCACGCATCTGAAACATGGCCAGGAAGGCTGGAGTGCTGGGAGAGGAGGCTGAGGCAGGGGCAATCACCACCGGACACACTGGGATGTTCTGCCCATGTGCTCTGGTAGCCGAGCAGTGGGCTGGAAAGATGTGAACTTTTAAGAGATCACGCCAGCTGCTGAGTGGAGAACAGATGTGAGGAGATTACTGCAGAGGGGCAGTGAGAGAGGATGGGGGCTTGGGCAAGGAGCAAGAAGTGCCAGCTTGGAGGACTATTTAGGAGTAACATCAATGGACTTGCTACCCCATCAGGAAATGTAAGTCAAATCCACAATGAACTACCACTTCTAACTCACTAACCAAACAAAAAACAAACCCGTTGCCATAGAGTCCGACTCATAGCGACCCTATAGGACAGAGCAGAATTGCCCCATGGGGTTTCCAAGGCTGTAAATCTTTACAGAAGCAGGGTATCACATCCTTCTCCCATGGAGCGGCTGGTGGGTTCGAACTGCCAACATTTCGGCTGGCAGCTGAGCGCTTTAACCACCGTGCACCCAAGGCTCCTTTCTTACCCACTAGGGTGGCTAAAATAAAAAAGACATATTCTGAGTGTTAGTGGGGAGCCCTGCTGGCACAGTGCTCAAGAGCTTGGCTGCTAACCAAAAGGCCGGCAGTTCAAATCCACCAGCCGCTTCACTTAATGCTTTCTCAGATTCTTACAATACCTGACCATAGTACTACTGGCTGTTTTGTTGTGATGCCTCTCAGACAGCCCAGCTGGTGCCCTGGCTGCCTTCTAGAGGAGTAGCACTGCCCTTTGGGCTGCCTGGGAGCAGGGTGGCGATCTCCTGTGGTTGCTGAGTATCTTTCTCCATTGTCTGGTGCAGGGAGAATGGACAAGCAGGTAGCCGCAGTCAGCCCATACCTTTTGCATGTGACCGTTTTAATCATTTCCTTTCAAAATGTTTGTTTTCAGGGAGCACCACATGGGGACATTTCCATTCCCTATGCAGCCGTACGCATGTGGAAGGCAAGGCTGGGGAGGGGATGTGTGTTTCTCTTTGAACAGGAGGCACAGAGGAGAGCAGACCCTCCCCTGACCCCATCCAACACTTCAGTCCTCGGTGTCTCAGTTCCTTTTCTATAAAATAGAGGGGATAACACTTGATTTGTCTAACACTTTCTTAGTTGTGAGCTTCAAACAAGATAATCCACATGAAGGCACTCAGTAAACTCTAAAGCAGTGCTTCTTTATGAAGTGGGGAGCAGGGGTGGGGAATAGGAGTCTGCCCTCTAGGGGACATTTGGTTCTCACAACTAGGGGTGTGTGTGCTACTGGTATCTAGTCGGGGAGGCCAGGGATGCTGCTAAACATCTTATAATAGACAGGACAGCCCCTACAACAAAGAATCATCCAGCCCCAAATGTCTATAGTGCCAAGGTTCAGAAACCCTGCTCTAAAGGATGCTAGAAAAATAATGACATTTATGGGGGATTCTCCATGTGCCAGGTACTTTACATGCATTATCTGATTTAATCGTTGCTGGGTGCCGGCAAGTGGATTCCAATTGATGGCGACCCCATGTGTCGTAAAGTAGAATTGAGCTCCATAGGGTTTTACACTTGATCTTAGCCAAAAGGCCAAGAAGCAATTCTTTAAGGTTTTCTTGGCTGTAATCTTTATGGAAGCAGATTGACAGGCCTTTCTTCCACTGTGCCGCTGGGAGGGTTCAAACCGCCAACCTTTCTTTTAGTACCTGAGAGCAAACCATTTGCGCCATCCAGGGACCTCAGAAGGTTAATAATTTCATAATAGCTTTCCTTCATTATGCATTTTCCCCAATCTAGGGATTCTAAAGGTACAGGCACAATTACATTGAGGATGGGCAGGAATGGGGGGTGTCCACAATAAAATCTTCTGTCTCTAAAAAGGGAGCCTCATCACCTAAAATCAGGGAAACTCTCACAGATTTTACAGATGTGGAGTAAATTAAAGTCCTGAGGTTTATGCAACTAGCAACATCTTTTCTGGGTCTTCTTTTCATGCAGCCTAATCTGAGTAATATTGAAAGTACTGAAAATATCAAAGTTATGAAGGATTTCATTTTACTTGGATTCACAGTCAACACCCACGGAAGCAGTAGTCAAGAAATCAAACGACACATTGCATTGGGCAAATCTGCTGCAAAAGACCTTTTAAAGTGTTAAAGAGCAAAGATGTAACTAAGGTGCCCCTGACCAAAGCCATGATGTTTTCAATAGCCTCATATTTATGTGAAAGCTGGACAATGAAAAAGGAAGACAAAAGAACTGACACATTTGAATTATGGTGTTGGTGAAGAATATTGAATATACCATGGACTGCCAGAAGAACAGATTTATCCTGGCAGAAGTACAGCCAGAATGCTTCTTACAAGTGAGGATGGCAAGACTTTGTCTCATAGACTTTGGGCATGTTATCAGGAGGGAGCAGTCCCTGAAGAAGGACATCATACTTGGTAAAGCAGAGGGTCAGTGAAGAAGAGGAAGACCCTAACGCCTAACGAGATGGACTGATACAGTGGCTCCAACAGTGGGTTCAAGCATAACAATGATTGTGAGGATGGCGCAGGACAGGGCAGTGTTTCGTTCTGTCATAGGGTCGCTATGAGTCGGAATTGACTCTGCAGCACCTAATAACAAAGCTGAGTGACTCATTGAAGAGGTTAATTAAAATGTTAGTGCACAATATGTTCTGTAGCCAAAATAAGAACATCTCACAATGTGTAAGGATTGGTTATCGACATATTTGGTTTCAGAATTCCATTGCCTCAAGTTCTTATCTTAAGGAAGTTAGGAGAAAGTAACCCTTTGAGTCTTTTCAATTCAGTTACAAGTACTTTTAAAGTATGTTCCAGTACAATGATTCTCAAAGAGCACCTAACCCAAACTGTTTCTCTGTTGTTGTTGGTAGGTGCCGTCAAGCCGATTTTTGACTCATAGAGACCCCATGTGACAAAGTAGAACTGCCCATAGGGTTTTCTAGGCTGTAATCTTTATGGGAGCAAGTTGCCAGGTCTTTCTCCTGCAGAGCAGCTGGATGGTTTCAAAACACCAACCTTTGGTCAGCAGCCAAGCACTTAACCATTGTGTCACCAGGGCTCCTTAAACCTTTTCTCTAGTCCTTGTAAAAGTCCAGTTTCTGGGTAGACTCTAAGGGGCAGGACCCAAAAAATGGTCCTCCCCAGCACAGAGCTCCTATAGCAATGCCATGAACCCCCAGGGACTCCCCAGGAAGACTCAACAGACCTTAGTAGCTGGAGCTGCTCTTGGTTTCTTCCCTGGGTAGCAAACTTACCCCTTTCTTCTTGGTCTCCTCCTGTTGCTCCATCTTTCCTCAGGAAGTGCAGAGTGCTGTTCACCTCCTTTGAGCCAGAATAACAAATGCACTAGATGGAAAGAGAAGACATTCTGGCTGCACTTTGGCCCTGCTGGGTAATCAGCAGTAGCATTTTTACAGCCAGTCTCAGTCAGAATAACCCTTTCAGGAGCCCAAAGGTTTGTGTTCCTCTCACTTCTTTTAAATTAACTGGGGTTTAGCCAAGCAAGTAGGCGCCCCTGGTACTGTAGGGACAGCATCTTCCTGACTGCGGCAGTCTGTGATATTGCCCCACTGCTAAAGCCTCCACCAGTCATGCCTGTGAGGAGTGACTGGAAGGGTTATTTCTGTCACGAACACATGAAAAGCAAAAGCTGTCACTGACCCTACATCATACCAGGTACTACGAGGGGATCAGATTGGGTCATTACAGGCTTCTTAGAAGTGCTCTCTGCCAGAAAGCCTGCAGCGAAGTCCTTCTACTGGGGAGCTGACTTTTTGGCCAAATACAAAAATTTTATACTTGCCCAAAATGCAAAAAAAAAAAAAAACTTTTTGGAGAGTTCCTTATTTTCCTTCGTGGCTTGGAGACGTTATTTTCTGTGTATTCATCATTATTGGCAAGGCAGTAAATACCTCAAAACCCTTTATTGACAGGGCAGGGAAAGTGAGTCACAGCTGCTGGTCTGGGTCTGTCCACCCCACGACCAGGCCACTGCCAGCCCCGTGTACTCAGCACATGTTCAGCTGCCATAGAGCATGCCAGGTCAAGTCACCAAAATCCAGAGCAAAGTCCCACAAGCCCCGCAGGCTTTCATCTTTACAGGACATACTCCCTGTTTTATTTGCTGTGGCGCAAATCCAGTTGATTTAGTCATCCCATCCCCTCAATCACCTTTAAACAGTTAATGGAATACCACTAATTGTTGGGCACTGTTCTTGTTATCAACAGCAAACTGGAGAATTATGAGCAGAGCTTTTCCGTGTGGGACTCTGTGAGGATGACAGTGTGACAGACGCTGTGTGTCTGTGTGTGTGTGTGTAGCGGGGGTCCCTGTTCACAAGGAAGAACTGACCATTTCCTCTCACCAGCTTCACTTAGCGTCTTTTTTCTTCCGTGTTGCGGCCCTAATACATACAATGATTTCCAATTAAGGTTGGGCAAGACCAGAGGGTTCCAATTATTTCAGAGAGTTTTGAAAAACTCTCCAAAGAAAAGGCATTTTCATTTTGGGGGGAAAAGATCAGCTGAAGGGGGAAAAAAATCAACCGTGAAGGGAAAGGGAGAGGTGGTGCAATCAAACAAAACAAAATGTCAAAAGTCTGCATTATCATCTGTCATGGTAAGCACAGTGGAATCAAGAGATCCGCTTTTTGGGCCAGATCTTCCACTTCACTCCCCGAGAGTCTTTGAAGGACCGCCCACCCCGCCACTGCCTCGACTTCCCCAGTTGGAGGGCAAGACAGTGGCCCGCCACACAGGGCCCGGAGGGGGTTCCTCCGGGAGACGGAGGCTGCGTACCAGTTTCCTGCTGGTCGCAGGGTATCGCGGGCATACCCCCCTGGCGCCATCAACGCTCGCTGGGCCGTTTAAGGTACCTCAGCCCCAGAGGGCGGCGAGTGCGCGGAGCGGGGCGACAGCTAGGCGGCAGGCTACCATAATGGCCGCTGTGCTGCCGGCATCGGGGCTGTGCCCTCGAAGGCCGCTGAGACATGGAGTCGGAGCGGGCTTGCTCTGTCCGGGTGGACCCACTGGCCCCAGAAGGCTCTGTCCGTGCCCGGAATCCGCCCTTCTGGCCCGGGCCTCCTGACAGTCCGCCGCGGGCACAGCGGTCTCCGGGCCTGGAGCCTCAGGCCGCCGTTAGGACGATCCGCGGCCTCTGGGCCCCGAGGGCACCTGGGAGCTCTGGGCTGGCCTGGGACAGTCGGGAATGGGCCCGACGGCTGGGGGACTGTCCCTGCCTGGTTCCTCTCCGCTCTCTGCCGGGATCCTTCTGCGCCTCGGGACCTCGGGACCCCGGGCACAGCAGCCTTCTGGCCGCAGGCCGCCGTTAGGCCGTCCAGGGTCCTTTGGGCTCCAGGGATTTGGGGGCTTGGAGCCAGCTTCGGACTGTTGGGAATGGGCCCCCTGGTGAGGTGAGTGGCCTGGACTCGTACACTGCAGGTGGACCTTCTTTTTGGTTTTCTGAACCTCCGTGTTCATTTATTACCCTTCAGAGCTGGAAACTGGGGATCAATGCCCACTGCCGAGTCTCCTTCGCTCGGCGTCATCCTCTTCGCCCCGCCCAGCCCCACCCTCGTTGCCGCCCTGTATGGACTAGGAAGGGAACCTTCGAATTTAAGCCTTTTTCTTTTCTCCCTGGGGTTTAAAATGGCAATAAATCAACACTAAGTGAACGACGTTTTAGCTAATTGCAGATAGGTTGAGGCGTGTCGCGAGAACATGTACCAATATTTACCAAAAACGGGATTGTGTTTTGAAACCAGCTCTGATATGAGAGCCAAAGAATCCCTTTAAATGGGAAAAAGGACAGTTGCAGGGCCATACCCGGGTGCTGACAGTGGCCTCCCTGGCTTTCTGTTCCTCACCCCTCGTATAGTTTGATTCATCACTGAAGAGAAAAAGGACCTAAAGCCAACTTTCCTCTTTTTCAGAGGGCCATGCCTTCTGTCCTCTTTAACCTCTCACGTTAGGCCATTTTCCAAAGCGGAAAGTGGGAAACAAGCATTTGCCAAGGATTGTGGTATGAGGATGTGGTTTCTAGATCTCAATTCCAAAATCATATTACTAACATAAAATGTAAATATTAATGTTAGGTACAATTCCTTGATCCCAATGGCATTGTAGGGGATCGATCCCAGCTAGACCTTAGAAAACTTGTTAGGTGCTGTCGAGTCATTTCTGACTCATAGTGACCCTCTGTACAACAGAAGGAAACATTGCCCGGTCCTGCACCATTCTCACAATCGTTGCTATCCTTGAGCCCATTGTTGCAGCCACTGTGTCAATCCATCTCATTGAGAGTCTTGCTTTTTTTCGCTGACCCTTTACTTTACCAAGCATGATGTTCTTCTCCAGGGACTGGTCCCTCCTGATAATACGTCCAAAGTATGTGAGACGAAGTCTAGCCATCCTCACTTCTAAGGAGCATCCTGGCTATACTTCTTCCAAGACAGATTTGTTCATTCTGCTGGCAGTCCACGGTATATTCAATATTCTTCGCCAACACCATAATTCAAAGGTCAATTCAATTCTTCTTAGGTCTTCCTCATTAGAATTTGTAAACAGTGGTTTTTCTGGATGTGGTTCTTCTGGGTGTTTATAATCCTGGCATATATTTATGTTTGTATTTACTGCACTAATACAAGTACTAGAGTGAAGATATAACAGAGTACAAAAAGAGCCTTGCCCTCACAGGGCTTAGATTCTAGTTGGGGAAACAGTTTAGTGAAATAATCACATCAATGTATTTACAGCTATAAAAGTGCTCTGAAGTTGGTGGTGGGAAGTGGGGGTGGTTGGTCAGGGAAGGCCTCCCTGAAAAAGTGAGTTTGGGCTGAGATGGGAAGGAAGGATGAATAAAGCTTTACTAGGCAAGATGGGGGTGGGGTAGTGGAGAGAGCCTTCCAGACAGAGGGAACAGTATGTGCAAAGGTCCTGTGCTAGAAGATAGTATGGTGCTGTCAAAGAATTGCAAGGTCAGTGTGACTGAAGAGCACAAAGCAGAGCAGAAGAGTAGTGGCAGAAGGAGGCTGGTGAGGTGGGCAGGGACCAGACTAGGTAGGGCCTTGTAGACTGTGTTAAGGACCTCAAGGAGGTCTAGGCGCAGAGGGAGGGTATTAAGGGTCCAGGAGAATGATCAGATTTGTGTTAAAATTTCACTCATGCTGGGGGAGCAGAACTGATTAGGAGACAGGATAACAATGTAGGGAAATCGGTAGAAGTCTGTTGCCGTAGACCACGTGAAAGACGGTGGTGACTTGGACCACCGTGATGGTAGAGATGAGAGAGGTATATGCATTTGAGAGAGATTTAGGATGTAAAATTGACAAAACTTGGTGATTGATAGGATGGGGATTGAGAGTTTCTGTATTACCATTGTAATAAGAAAACACAACGTAAAAATTGTCTTCCTGAAAATGAATGGTGTTCGGAATTTAAAAAAAAATTTTTTTTTATATATATAGGAAATTTTAACCAGGATGTAACATGTTGGATTAGCACCACAAAGCAAGCTAGCAAATCCCTGGGCTATTCTGTGACCAGACAATTATATGAGGACTTCAGGGCACTGATGATCTCACCTCCACTTGGAATGCCCTGGAATTTTAAGTTTTGCCACAGCTTCTATTGCAGAGACTGCAGTGGCTCCCCCTCTCCACCCTCATGTCCCTTGGATCAGTCCCTCTTCTAGAGTAATAGAATTTTGGTCAGGACCTGTGGCTGCCCGATATAAAGACTACATTTCCCCATTGCCCTTGTAGTTGATATGGACATATGACAAAGTTCTGTCTAATGCAATGAATGCAAAAGTACCATGCGGCAGCTTCCAGGAACCTTGCTCTCTTTTTAAATCTCTTTCTCAATTCTGCTGTCTGGAATGTGTATGCCACCAGCTTGAACCATGAAATTGAGGGCATGTGGAACAGAGCAACAAGATAGAAAGAGCTTGGGTCCCTTACTCTGTGGAGTGCCATCCCAGCCCTGGAATGCCTGCTTTGGACTTCATATGATAATAATAATACTCTCTATCTTGCTTTCTGTTACTTGCAGCTGAACCTAATTTTCACTGCTATACCCATTAAACACGCGCTTGGAAGCCTGTTATGTCAGAAAACAGGAAGGTACTCTAACTGAAAGCCCTTGGTTGTGCAAAGTGGACAGTCTGTTCAGCCTCAGTACATGCTTCTGTAACGTGAATGAGCTCATACACAGTTTGTGAATAGGGGAATACAATCAATGTAAGGTCGGCAGTTCATATCCACCAGCTGCCCCTTGGAAACCCTATGGGCCTGTTCTACTCTGTTCTATAGGGTCACTATGAGTTGGAGTGGACTCAACGGCAACGTTTGTTTTTTTTAATCCACATAACACAGAAGCTGTGTTTGTTCAAGCACCACACTTACCAGCATGTTAATCTAACAGTTTGAGATGGTCAGGGGCAAGCATTCTGTCAAAGAGCAAGTCTTGGCAACATATGAAGACCTTAAAGAAAAGTCAAAAATCCTGCAGATGCGCTATAGGGCTGGTTGAGAGGGTTCAAGAAGCACTTTGCTTTCCACAACCTTAAGCTAACTGATGGAGTTTCAAGGAAAATTAAAGAAGATGTAAAGACATTTATATATATTGTTGTTGTTAGTTGCTGTCGAGTCAGCTACAACTCACGGTGACATTGGGTAGAACAGAACAAAACGTTGCCCAGTCCTGCGCCATCTTCACGATCATTGGTATGTTTGAGTCCATTGTGGCTATTGGACAATCCATCTCATTGAGGGTTTCTCTCGTTTTCAGTGACTCTGCTGTACCAAACATAATGTCTTTCTCTCTCAAATGGTCTTTCCTCATGACCAGTGGAGCTGAAGTCTCACATCCTCACTTCTAAGAAGCATTCTGGTTCTGTTTCTTCTAAGACTGATTTGTTTGTTCTTTTGGCAGCCTACAGTAAATTCAGTATTCATATATATATATACACACTGAGACCTGTGAGAGCCAGAACTCGACAGGACTGCCTTGTTTTTCCAGGTCTCGAAGTTTTCTGCCTTTGACAAGATGTAGTCTTACCACTTTTCTATCACTCGTTTTTAGTGGAAAATATGAGTTTTCCTTCTCTGACAGGTTCCGACTTTCGCAGGTTTTACTATACATATCGACTTGACAATATACCAAACCTGTTGCGGTGGAGTTGATTCTGACTCATAACAACCCTATAGGTCTGAGTAGAACTGCCCCATAGGGTTTCCAAGGCTGTAATATTTACAGAAGCACACTGCCACATCTTTCACACACGGAGCAGCTGGTGGTTAGAACCGTTGACCTTTCAGTTAGCAGCCAAGCGCTTTATCACTGTACACCAGGGCTCCTTTGTGTGTGTGTGTGTGTGTGTGTGTGTGTGTGTGTGTGTGTATAAACCAAAGGAAAAAAAAAAAACCCGTTGCCATCGAGTCAATTCCAACTCATAGCAACTCTATATGACAAAATAGAATTGCCCCATAGGGTTTCCAAGGAGCAGCTGGTGGATGGTGGATTCGAACTGCTGACCTTTTGGTTAGCAGCCATCGCTCTTAACCATTATGTCACCAGGGCTCCATATGTATATATGTGTGTGTGTGTGTATATATATATAAAATACATGTACGTATATATGTATGTCTGTTATATATTATATATATATATACACATAAATATATGTATATATACACCCATTGCCGTCGAGTCAATTCCAACTCATAGTGACCCTACAGGACAGAGTAGACCTGCCACATAGGGTTTCCTAGGAGCAGCTGGTAGACTCGAACTGCCAACCTTTTGGTTAGCAGCCGTAGCTCACCGTAGCCCTTTAACCGTATGTATGTATTATACATATTTAACCAACCAACCAACCAGTTGCTGTGGCATTGATTCCAATTCATGGCGACCCCACGTCTGCAGAGTAGAACTGTGCTCCATAGGGTTTTCTCATGGCTGTGACCTTTCAGAAGCAGATTGCCTGGCCTTTCTTCCAAGATGTCTCTGGCTGGGTTTAAATCGCCAACCTTTCAGTTAGCAGCCGAGCGCTTGTTTGTAACACCCAGGGTCCCACACATATATACATATATAATTATATATATATATATTAAATTGCATTATGATTACAGCCTAAATCAGATTTTAAGTTTTGATGAAACTGCTCTCTACTGGGAGTGACAGGCCTAATGACCCTTGTCTAGGAAAGAACACGAACCCCTGTGCTGCTGAAACGCTGGGTGCAGATGCCTGTGGAGACTTACCTGGACAACTGTTTTTAGTAGGACTGCGTGTTTTTGTTAGTGTTCAGATTATAAAGCTGCACAGGATCAAAGTGGTCTGGTCTGGCCCGATTTTTCCCTTAAGTCCTGTTATTTTTAGGAGTGACCTGGCCAACTGTGAGGTTCTTTGGTATCACGTGTATTGCCTCATAGCAGCAATGCCTGCACGTGTCTCGGAGAGCACACATGAGGGTGAGTTTTCCAAGGTGGGTGTGTATGTGGGGTTGCTTGATTGGAGGGAGCGGCAGGAAGAGAGGGCACAGAGCTCCAGGTTACCCCTACTCCAGGTGTAGATAAGGAAGGAGTAATTAATAGGTCCTGGAGTGGATTCAAGGTCCCTGGGTGGCACAAATGGTTTGCGCTTGACTACTAACCTAAAGGAGTCCTGGGTGGCACTCGGCTACTAACTGAAGGGTTGGTGGTTCAAACCCACCCAGCAGCTCTGTGGGAGAAAGACCTGCAATCAGCTTCCGTAAAGATTACAGCCAAGAAAACCCTATGGTGCAGCTCTGCTCTGTCACATGGGGTCACTATTAGTCAGAATCAACTCCACGGCACCCAACAACAACTAACATAAAGTTTCAAACCCACCCATTGGCTCCGTGGGAGAAAGACCTGGCGATCTGCTTCCATAAAGACTGCAGCCTAGAAAACCCCTGTGGAGCGTTTCTATTCTGTAACACATGGGGTTGCCATGAGTCTGAATCGACTGGATGTTAAGGGGTTTGGTTTGGTTTTTTTGGAGTGGATCCAAATATGCCCTTGTTTTGCACAGGCAATGCTCCTGGTCCCATGAAGCTAGGTGTGTGTGTGTGGAAGTTGGGGTGGGGGGGACAGTCCACTTGATTGACGTAGGCCCTCCCATGTCCGGTGTTCACATAGGGTCTCCCTGACCACTCTGTGCCCTGTAAGGCATGCCACCTGGCCATCAGAACCCAACTGTGCAGGCTGGGCAGAGAGGAGGAGGGAGAAAACATGCCCGATCCAAATTACCTTTCTTTCTTTTTTTTTTTTTTTTACAGAAGTGCCTGATTCTTAATTCCAGAAATACCTAGCATCCCAAAGTAACATGTAAACAAACCTCTGTGCTGCTCAATGAATTATTTCTACTCTCTACAATAAACTAAATGGTATCAGTTCTAATATATGACTTCTATGTAAGTTAGGGTTTCATTCATTACTTTGACTGTATTACTGATGTAGCAAAGAGGGAAAATTTCCAACTACTGTTATTTATTTAAAACAAATTGACAGGTTCAAGAACCTGTCTTTAGAAAAGCCAGCAGCATTTCTTAATATACTCAAAGTATGATTTGGCCTAAGCCCTTAATACCTTCCTGGACAGCCATACGAATAAACACCCTTAGGAGAAGTTGCATAGGGGAGAACAACGTAGAGCAATTTGCACTTTTTCCCCTGGATAATAGAAAGGAGGTAAAGCAAATCCAGATCTTTTTGAGTCAATGGCTGTCATGTTTAATACACTCGGAGCTGTATAAAACTAGAGCCACTATCATATATGCTTATATAGATATATACTTACTATTTTTTAATAAAGTCTTGCTCGCTTCAAAATTTAAGGATGATCTTTTTCCTGGTCAGTCACTTCAAGGCAACAATAAATAAAGTAGAGAAGGATGAATTGTTTTGCATATTTCTGTGGAAGAACGGAAAACATTTATACTTTGAGAAGTTCAGAAAATTCACTGTACAGAATGAACAGCTTATATACACTATCTGTGCAATTTTTCTTGGCTGGGGTATTTAAATGCAAGAGCTCCTCCAAGATAAGAAGCCACATTCATTGTTGTCCAAATTCCTCTGTCTCGTCTATTGCAAAAAGCAGCTTTTCCTTTAGTTGTTCATAACTCTTATATGGTGGGAGATCCAAGTGATTAAAACACTTGTGGCTTCTTGGTAACCAGGTGTCTTTGCCAGCTTTTTCAATGCAAAATTTTTGAGGCCCATTACTTCCCATGAGCTCAGCAAATCCTCCTAGAGGATTTGTCTGCCGGGACATACTGATCTTCACATGACTGCGTAGCGCATTAGCCTGGCACAAATAACGGAAGTGAGCAAGTTTCCACCTAAAGCTGCTTTCATAAGCGATTTGTGGACCGCCTTTAGTTACAGATGACTTTCTGTTTCGAGGATCTTTGACTGTTGTTGTTCTTGTGTTATGATCAACGAAGTACCTAACGCCTTCTTGAGTATACCTAATTTCCCAGCCTGCTGGTAGGGGTTCTTCATTCTTGGATCTTCCCACTGGGTTGTTTCTGTGTTATGATTCACAAAGTAAACTCTGTCCGTTGAATCTACTCTTTTTTCCAAGCCTGGTGGCAAAGGCCCATATGGGTCACTTTCTGCAGCTAATGTTGAAACTGCATAGAGGTGTCATTGGCTGAACTATTGCATAGCTCCCTGCAATTGGTTCCACTGAGACCGCCGCTGCTCAAAGTTTCCAACAGATTCCATGGTAGGCCGCTGCCACGTTGTTGTTCTGGTGTTATGATCCACATGATCAACTCTTCCACAATCATCAACTCTTCTTTCCCAACCTGGAGGTAACGGTTGTGGTCCCTCCCATGTGGTGGTTTGGGTGTTATGATCCACATAATAGGTTCTACCGTGAGGATCTTTTCTCTGTTCCCACCCTGATGGCAAAGTTCTGTGTTGGCATTTCCAGACTGTTGCTGTAAGGTTCTACGCACCCATCTGACTGTCTTATTTTGGCTGCTTCAAAAGCAGAACTATTTCCTGAATTAGAGGTGGCAGGGTCTAATGTACTTCTGGCTTCTGATTCCAGTGCTGCACTGGTAGAAGGAATACATTCATTGTTTTCTGAGGAAGTCGATATTTCTTGAACTGAAGGATCTTCGACAGTGGTACCAGTGCAATTTGAAGACAAGGTTGTTTCTTCAGATACTACTGCAGTCCCCGTGGCGGATGTATTATCAGTTGGTGCAGATGAGGATGACTCTCCATTAACAGTGTCATTGGCAGGCTCAGACGTGAGCGGTTTTGGAGCTGGTGTATTTTTGGGTCTGGCAGCAGCCTGAGACAGAGGTGAAGATGTGTTGTGTCCATTAACTACATACGAACAGCATGAGTTCTGGACTAGAGTGCTTGTAGGTACATGATTATCTATTCCATTAGTACCTTCAACAGCCAACCTTGCAGTTGTCCTTGCTGAAGGCTCTCCGTTTTCATGTAAGGCATCACCATTTTGCTGTATATTGGTTGCAGACGAGCTGCAGTTTGCTAGATTTTCTTGCTCAACCACCAATCCGTCAAGTACAACTGTCAATTCACCAGTTTGCACTATACCATTCTTCTTTTCCAAGGAAAGTTTTGTTCTTTCACTCTTTCCAATTTTCTATTATGTTTTAAGAGAGCTTGTTTCAAATCTACTGTTGCTGTTCTTAACATAGCATCTGCTTTTAAAGTGTGATGACACCAGACTCGAAATTCCAAAGTAGACTGTGGGGTCACATTTACGGTTAGCTGTTCATCCCATTTTGGATTAGAAGAACTACTGGATTTTGCTGTTTTCTTAATTTCTTCATCTACGTCTATTTCTGTATATATTCCTGGTCCAAACCAGTTTTTTTCTTTTTAATTTGGCACTAGAAACAGTTACTTGTAACTGTAACCTTCCACTGTGGTTATTATAGCATCAGACCTTGGTGAAGCAGTGGCCATGTCCCAAAATTCAGCTTAAACTTTGTACTAAGAACTGTGCCAGACACTGGGGATACAAAGAAGAGTAAGACACGATTCCTTCTTTCAAGGAGCACATAGGCTAGTGAGGAGACAAACGCGGCGCGAAGCGGTCGGCTCCCGGTGGCCACGGCAGCGGCGCCTCCTCCTGCGGCGGCCGCCCTCACCCTTCCGCGCCCAGGATCGCCATCTCACAGTAGGCGCTGCGCCAACAGCTACCCAGGCGTCTGCCCTGGCAGCTCAGGCCGCCTGCAGCCACTCGGAACCCGCACGCTGCGCTCGCTGATACCCGACCCTCCCCTTACGCCACCCCGGCCACGCGCCACCCCCAGGCCACCCCACGCCTCCCTCCTCGGGAGCGCACCGCGTGCCTGAGTCACCGGCGCTGCGCCCCGAGCTCCCGAAATTACCTTTCTTGGTCCATGTGCCAGTTTCGTGCTCTGCGGTCATTAGAGCGTCATCCACGAGTCCATCAGATGCCCCCAAGGCAGGGAAGCTGCCAATCACACTCTGACACGCCTGGTGTGTAAACTTTAGAGACATTAGAAGGTGCCCATGTTATCTCTTTGCAAGAACAGTTTGACCTCGCCTATCAGAGAGTGCATGTTCATGAGAAGGGTGTGGTACTGGACAATCACGGATAGGAAGCATGAAGGCAAGTGGGTCAGGAGGCTCCTCACGGACCCAAGTGGCTTCTGTTAGTTACACATTATCCTGGCTTTAAAAAAGAAAATGTTGTCATTAAGTCGATTCTGACTCATGGTGACCCCATGAGGATCAGAGGAGAACTGTGCTTGACAGAGTTTTCAATGGCTAACTTTTCAGAAGCTGAGATCACCAGGCCTTTTCTTTCAAGGAACCTCTGGTGGACTCGAACTTCCAACCTTTGGGTTAACAGCCAAGCTGTTAACTGCTTGCACCACCCAGGGACATCTTACTCTGGGTAGACAACTGTCTTTGATCACAGAAAGAGACCAAGAAGGGCAGAAACAATATCCAGTGGTGTGTAAAAGGCAGCTCCTACGGGCTGAGCAGGGCCAATGGTTAAAATTTCAGGGATTTTTTTTTGAGCAGGTTGTTAAAAACAGCTGTTATTAAAAATTAAATTACATGAACTTCAATTAAATTGTGTTAAAAACAAAGGTAACCTAAATATAAGCACTAAAACCATAAAAATCTTAGAGAAGAAAATGGGAAAATCTTCACAACCTTGGATTTGACAAAGGATTCTTACATATAAAACCAAAAGCATGACCAACAAAAGAAAAAAATAGATCCAATAAATATGGATTTCAACAAAATGGAAAACTTCTGTGCATCAAAGGACATTATCAAGAAAGTGAAAAGAATGTAAAAGACCTATACAATGAAAACTACAAGACACTACTGCAAGAAACTAAAAGAGACCTGCATAAGTGGAAAAACATATCTTGCTCATGGATAAGAAGACTCTACATTGTGACAATGTCAATTCTACCCAAAGCGATCTACAGAGACAATGCAATCCCAATCCAAATTCCAACGGCATTTTTCAAGGAGATGGAGAAACAAATCACCAACTTCATATGGAAAGGGAAGAGGCCCCGGATAAGTAAAGCATTACAGGAGAAGAACAAAATGGGAGGCCTCACACTTCCTGATTTTAGAACCTATTATACTGCCACGGTAGTCAGAACAGCCTGGTACTGGTACAACAACAGATACGTAGACCAATGGAACAGAATTGAGAATCCAGACGTAAATTCATCCACCTATGAGCAACTGATATTTGACAAAGGACGAAAGTCCGTTAACTGGGGAAAAGACAGTCTCTTTAACAAATGTTGCTGGCATAACTGGATATCCATCTGCAAAAAAAATGAAACAAGACCTGTACCTCACACCATGCACAAAAACCAAGTCAAAATGGATCAAAAACCTAAATATAAAATCTAAAACAATAAAGATCATGAAAGAAAAAATAGGGACAATTCTAGAAGCCCTAATACATGGCATAAACAGGATACAAAACACAAGTAACAATGCACAAATACCAGAAGAGAAACTAGATAACTGGGAGCTTCTAGAAATCAAACACTTACGCTCGTCAAAAGACTTCACCAAAAGAGTAAAAAGACAACTTACAGACTTGGGAAAAAATTTGTGGCTGTGACAAATCCATCAGTGTCTAATCTCTAAAATCTACAAGATACTACAAAACCTCAACAACAAAAAGACAAATAACCCAATTAAAAAATGGGCAAAAGATATGAATAGGCACTTCACCAAAGAAGACATTCAGGCTGCTAACAGACACAGGAAGAAATGCTCACAATCATTAGCCATTAGAGAAATGCAAATCAAAACTACAATGAGATACCATCTCACCCCAACAAGGCTAGCATTAATCCAAAAAACACAAAATAATAAAT